CTCAGGCAGAAATCTGGGCCTCCAGGAGCTGATGACACCTGCGCTTAGTCATAGACCTAACCCACTTACCTTGTACCTAACTTGAGTCTCATTGAATTCCTGCGCCAAGTTGGTCCACCGGGCTTCTGTGCCTAGTGTCACCATCTGCATCACATGCAAACGGGGCAACAAGGAAGCAGACATGCTTATTTTGCATCTCCCTTCTGAGCCTGTGCCTTCTCCACTGTCCCAAGAAATTTCATTAGAGGGCCGGGGATTTAGCTCAGTGGTTTCGCCGCCTGCTGCATAAGCACAAGGACCCAAGTTCAATCCCTGGTACCAAAAAAAAGAAAAAAGAAAGAAATTTCATTAGAAAACAATTTCAAAGATAAAAATTATGATTTCAGGGTGGTGACTGTAAAGTGTTAGACCAAACGTGAGGCCCCTGTCAGTGTGGGGCCCTGTCAGTGCGAAGGTTGTGTGTCAGAGAGCCAGCCCTGCCCCTTTGCTTCTCACATTAAGCACATTCCACAGAGGCACAGCTGCTCCAGAATTCGGACTCCTCCCACTTCCCCGGAGAAATTTGCAAAAGGAGATTGGTGGAACAAACCACACCTCCCGGCTCCTGCATCCGGGGTGTCTCTGATACTCACTTCTCCTTCCCCTTTCTCCACACATTCTGGGTTCCCCTCGCTCATAGATAGTACTTCTTCTGAGGGAGATGGCTCAGAACCTCATCCCTCGGGGGTGTGCCCTGGTTACCATCCCTGTGTCAGGCCCATTGCATCAGCTCGAGGCCATGCAGATTCCTTGTGTTCCGTTATATAGCAAGAGCCCTACCAGGTATGGTAATTCCTTTCTGTGACTGCTGATCTACTGCATGGAGAACCCGAGTGATCCAATAGGAGCCATAGCTTAGAGTTAGTGGACCTCTGTCCTTGCCCAAGAATCAAGGCTTCTAGAACCATAAAGCCTAAAGTTGCAAGGATAAGAAGCCCCAATTCCCATGGTCACTGGGAGTGGCTAATCCTGCTTGGTTCCCAAGCTCGTGTATTCTACCTGTTGGAGACAGTATCACATGAAGGTCATAGGCTTTGGGAATCTGTAAAATCTGCAAGGCTGTCACACCCTCTCAGAGTGTCACTTTTAATCTGGTGAAGTTGATGCTTCCATTTCACTACCATCTCAAATCAGCGTCTCCTGCATGGGAGGGTTTATGTAGGAGCAGTGGATCCCAAAATCACGTGACCATTGAGGCACTTCTCTTGCTGAAAGTGAGTCCCTTGAGCTGAGGAGACATTTTATTTTCCTACGTTGGTTAATCAGACATTCTGAGGCCTCAGGGTGTAATGTTGGCCAAAGCCTCAGACTCTCACTGTGGGAATCCATATAACATCACCTTGGGCCAACGGACTTACTTCACTGTCCCTCAGTATAGGGGATCAGTGAGATATTCTGTAGGACATCTGGATGGTGCAGAGTTTTGGGGGCTATAATGCAACAGGAAACCAAAGGATGAGAATGAATGTAGCCCTGGAGCAAGAATGTGAATACACACTATTTCCCTCCCTGCATGAATACAGACTGCTGCTGTTCTTGCTTTCTTGGGTGTCCTGTCAGTGGCTGCATGGCATGTGCCTAAGGATGTGTTCATCTGCTACAGTAAGGGCCTCTGTCCAGCACAGCAGCTGCGAGGGGGGTTCCAGCTTGGTTAACCTTGCAGTCATTCACTTCTGTCAGTGATCCTTCCACTTCTTGCAGGAATAGTATTAGCTAATTAAATGGGAATGAGAGAAACCAACACCCCTTTATCTTTGAGTCTCCAAGAGTGGCACTTTGAGGGATACCCAATATTTGCAATACTGTATTGTTTTTTATTTGCCATCTTATCTTGCAGTTGGTGAGAGAAAGGTCATTTCAAAGGCTTTCATTTAGCTTTTGCTACAAGAGCTCTTACTCTACAGGTCTAAGGACCAATGCCAACTGCAAATCAGGTCTATCCCAGTTATATATTCAGGAAGTGGATCAATGGATGATCTATATATATTCAGGATTGAAGCTTGGTTCTATAAGCCCAGTAAACTCAATATGAAAGGGACCTGAGCTAACACCCCATTTATTATGTGACCACATATTCCCCTACTCTAACGAGGGGACTGCAATGGTATATTTTGAGCATCTGGTTATCAGCATCAACTCAGATCCTCTGTCTACTTACTAGCACTAGGTACAGGCATATTCCCATCCCAATAGTCAGTTACTCCAGTAAATAACCATAGATCTCTTTGGTAAATAAGTAAGAGAATCACACTTGCCATGGTGTTGAAGAATTCTTCCTCATGGGTACCTGGGCCCTCATTTAGTCAGTGGCTTCTGGGACTGAGAAGTGGATCTGATCCAGAAACTTGGCAGAGAATGGTGTCTTTCCACTGACATAGCTGACTTCAAACTTTTGCTGATTCATATTTGCTCACTTTCAGATATATATATATAAAATAATACTTCTTGAGTGCTCATCTGTCTTGCTCCTAGGAACACTATATTCTGTTATTTCATCTCCACGGAAGATTGCTGTGAGTCAGGCTTCCTTATCTTCCATTGCAGCCTTGCTGCATATTCTAATTATGCCATCTCACTTTTGAGGGTTAAATGCTACCATGCAGCCTCTGATAGTCTAGGATCCTGTCAGGCACATTGATAATAAAGAACTCGGTCTGTCTTATAAGTCCACAGAGAAGAGTTAATTTGCAGCTTTTCTGAGACACTGGTGTGCCCTTGGCCAGTTCATGCGTTATTGCTTTGATAAATGGAATCTTTCAGCCCCCACACCAGGAGTATAGTTAGCTGGTAGGTTTTCCAGTGTTGCATCTCAGATCCAATCTGGCATGCCTAATTCTGTGAGTCTTGTATCACTTTCTCCATAGTCCACTACAGCAGTTCTGGCGTCTCTACTTCATTTGTTCTGGCCCACAGCTTTTTCTAAGCTTTCAGTAGCTACTCCAGTAACATATCCATCTCCCAGGGCCCTTGCCAGGCTGTTAAATCCTAGATCCCAGGCGGCTTCAAATCAACAAACTCTGCCTCATCCAGCTTCCTATTCTGCTTCCGATCCATATTCGGGTCCATGCTCAGCCAGTCTCCAGTTGCTCGTGATCCATGTCAGCCAGGTCCTGACGCTCCTTTGGTTATAATCCCTCTTCCAAAGATCCAATGCTTTCCTTCTCCAAGCATGCAGAGACTTGACCCTAATCATCAGGTAAGTGGTCAGGAGACAGGCAGATCCTGAGGAAGCCATGTGTCCTGGAGGTTTCTGCATTGTCGCAGGTGTGGTGGGGGTGGAGTAGTGGGGCTCTATCTTTCAGTAAGGGTGGGTGGGTTCCTCCTTCGGTTCTTCCTATGGTGGAGCCTAAGAGCTCTGAGGAGAGGCTGAGAGTTCGAGGTTCTCATGTATATCATCCCATGTCTCTAGGTCCTGCCTCTCCCCTGGTAGGGCCTGACTTTAGCATGGGGAACGTGCCTAGCCTGACAATTCAGCCTTCTCTGACATTCAGTGATTATGTCTTTTGACAAGTCACCAGTTCTTCCTGCCTTCCAGCTAAAAATGGGTCTCTTTGAATACGCCCCCCCAAGAAGACCCTCTGATCCTCACGAGTATGTTGCTTTATACTGGCGATTGAAGTTCTGGGCTTGTCATTTTCCCCTCATCATAGGCCTTCAGCAACAGCCACCCTTTCTACAACCCACCTAATTACTGTGTCTCCCATGTCTCTTAGTTCCACAAATTCTGCTCAAGTCAGTGCTCTCCCTCCCCTTTATCCTGTCCCAGATCCCTGTAGGTGACAGTTTTAGCAATTGTACCCTACTTCTGGCCAGGGACCTTCCATAGGGCTACACACCAAGGTCCTCATTGCCAACCCAGCCTCCAGAATGAGGCTCAGCTGTGAGCTATGAGTATTGCCCAAGTGGGCAATGGATGTACCAGCCAGGTGCAGGGCATCAAGGGGCACCTGCAGCGTCTACTGAACTTGCTAGGGTAGTTTTTGACTTTGAAAAACGTTACATGGGTCAAGTCTATATATACCTCTGTCTATTAGAACCAAATCTGGCAGCACAGTTTCTTATGTTTCTGTCCCCAGCTCAAGACTGACCTCCTCTATGGAAGAGGCTCAGTCCTGTTCATCTTTGCATTACTCACTCGGGCTGGTAGTAAATCGTTGCTATGCAAACATTTATCAAATGAAGGGTGATTGGGGAAGCTCTCAGAGCAGCTTGAACTCTGGGCTAAATACTTGGAGCATTATTCTGTTGACAGTTAGGAAGAGTTTGAAATGCTTTCTTGGCAGCAGCATGTAATGTGTATTGGACCAGAGAGAGAGAGGAGAGAATAGCCAAGAGCTATTGCAGCAACATGGGCAAAAAGCAACATGAGGCAGAGTTTGAGTAGAGCCTGGGAATGTGGAGAGGCAGATGCAAAAGTAATTAAACAATATTATCTACAGGGCCCAGATGGCCTTGGGCTGACAGCCACTGTAGGGACATTTGGGATTCTAATCAATCAAGTGAACGGGGAGTTGTGTACTTATACGCCCTCAGGAAGATAGAAGAAGAGCATTTCTCATGTTTATTTGGAAGAAATACCTAGAGAATAAATTTGTATGGGTTTTTTCACTGTCGTGCACAATTAGACAAAATCACTAAAGTAGAAGGGGGATACTCTTTATCCTCCATATTTTTGCCAGAACTCCACAATTATATCTGAGAAAAGCCAAGAGTGTCAATACGGAATTTGCTCAGTTCATTAGTGCACAGGATACTTAAAATTAAAGTGGCTTTCAGTGACACTGCTTTTAAGTCAATCACGCTATTCAGTAATGTGTTTCAAAGCTGCAGCTTCAGCACATTATTCTCAGCTGCACTCTGGAGTGTATCCTGGTTGGAATAATTTACCCAAGTCGTAGATGGATCATATACAAACCAGGAAATTCTTTTTTGCCTCTGAACTTTCCAGGCCTTGACTACAGGGAAAGATATTTACATTCCTCTTGGTGACTTTTGGCCAGGTGCCACCGGTTCACGTTGTTTTCTGAGAGCCTGTTCCTGGGAACCCAGTTACATGGACCGGACCTGGATTTGCCAAGGTTCTCCCTGGGGCTGGCTTGAGATTTGTTGTCAACAACATTCCTTTTCCCATGTACTTCACCATCGCCGTTCGCTATGAAACTCAGGTACCCTTGAACTCCAGCTTTACAACGGCAGAAAGCTGAGGGAAATACATTCTCAACTGTTGCCATTGCAGCCTTGCTAGAATAGGGTCTTCCTTAAATGATGTACAAAAGTAGGCCAGCTGGAGAGCACTATAAATAAAAGGATTTCCTAAAGATAGTGAAGCAACATCATGAGCTGCCTGCTCTACTTTGTCCATGCAGTGAGGCTAAAGTTGGAGTTACATGTTTGAAGGACCAGTTTGAAGAAGTGGCAAATGAATGTTTGTATAAGAACAACTAAAGTAGCACAAATCCTGCCCTCCTGAGACCTTTTCTCTAAAACTTTAGTAAATCAACACACGTGTAGAGATTCAAACTCAAAGGGAATGCAGCAGAAGCATTTACTTGCATTTAAACCTTAGCCTGCAAAAAAAGAGACTAAAAAGCACATAGCCCCCTCTACCCACTTCTACAATGCTACCCACCCCCAAAGCCCTTGAGAAATATCTGAAGCAGAATGGCAATTAGAAACCAAAGTTAGAAAAATGCTTGATCCAGAGCAGTAGTTTCTAACCTTTCTCCAGTAATCTAAAACCCACCAACCATTTCCCTTGAAAACTTGTATGTGGATGGAGGGGGCGTGGTCATGGAGGCTCCCCAGCCCTTCTGGGGCCCATTCTGGAGCTGCTCACTGTGTGTCACATGACACTGCTGCTGCCCCACTTTGAAACTCTTGATGGTGTGTAATTCTCCACTTCTCACTTACAAAAAAAGCCAAGAACGCCAATGATCATTTATCTGGTGAGGGTGAAAATCATTACAAAAAAAGAAATACTTTTCTTTATTCATAGACTATGTGTCTGACAGCTTTAAGACGCTTTTCCAAATTGTGAGGCTTCCAAAATACAGCTAGTTATCATATTTCTCACACATATCTATCTATTTATATCCATCTATCTATCTTTCACATACAGTCTTTTGTGAAGGTTTTCAAATTGTTCTTCTTTGTTCTGAGATCCAGGGCCATGATGAATTAAATCATTTGGAGACAGGGCTTAAAAATTAGACCTGTCTCACCGGGGATTTAGCTCAGTGGTTCCACCACCTGCCTCGCAAGCACAAGGACCCGAGATCAATCCTCCATACCAAAAAAAAAATTAGACCTGTCCAGAAGGTTAGGGTCTTTTCCAGGCCCATTAGCTATAGCTGTAGCCACGACCAGTGTTCTTCCTGTTCGGATCACAATACAGACACAGAAACCTGAGTTTGGCAGTGAGTCACTCAGACTTCTTTCAACTACAAAACTCAATTTTCCAAGTGGGCTGTGGGTTGCAAATTCAATTCCACAGACTGTCCATTAGGTGTACAAGTCTGTGCACAGAATGGCTTGCTGCATCCTCATGGCGACACACTTTGATGTCGTGCCTGTCTAGTCTGCAGCTGACTGGGCTGTCCAGGTGGTGGTCACCCCCGAGGAGGGAGCGGCTACTGCACACCCAAGACTCCACGGCCCAAGCCTCCGACTTTTGCGTTACCGGCGACCGCCAGGTATGTGTGGGACCCAACCTCCAACATTGAAGGCGCGTTAGAATGTGGTTCCTATATCAATAATGTGTGCCCAGGAACTATATAGGAGAAGAGTGGTATTGAAGGAGACTATCCTGCTTAACACATAATTTTTGTATGCTATATAGTACTTTGTATTTAATATCACATTTAACCCATAACAATTCAATGAGGTAGATTGTGTCTTCATCAGATGAAGAGGAATTTGAGATGAAGAACACTTAAATGACTTGTCCACGTCTCAGCTCCTGTGTAGCTCCTGGTTCTGTGTAGCAGAACCAGAGTCCTAGTCCAGCTCTCCTGACCATAAATTCGAATGTTCCTTATCCATTGCCCAGATGGTTTGGAAATGTGACCAAGTGGAGTGCTACAAGAATTAAGATTAAATACTCAGCTGAGTACTCTCAACTGAGAGTCTTTAGGAAAAACTAATTTTTAAGCCACTTATTTTGTCTTATCAAAGATTGTGGCAAAATGAAACAGAGACCTTGTTGACACTGGCATGAGAGACGAGATGAAGGAAATCTGTCCCGCACTCTCTCCAGGGAGGTGAGGTCAAATAGTTCCTTAGACTTTGCTGTGTGGCTCAGTCCCGGGGAAGAGCCAAACAGGATCTAAGTGTAGATGTACTGTCCTGCCAGTTCACCAGTGCCTGTGTGGACATGGACCTTGTCTTAGCCCCAGGTGGACACCCCCTTACCAGCCCAAGTAAAATGCTACCAAATACGGTGGTTACCTAGGTGATATAAATGTACTTTTATCAGGGGCCTTTTGCTGCATCTCTCTCAATACAGAGTTGTGCTGCTTCCCACACCCATCTGTTTAGAGCCAGGCATGCAGTATTCCATCAATGCCTATTTTTCTCAGTCTTTGGAAGGAGAGTCCTACACTCACTCCCATATCCTGGTGTATTTGGTAAGTATCTCCACTTGTGGGTGCTTTCTTCCCAATTGGGCGCCATTATAATTTTACTTGCAGATTCTAACCAAGATGTTTCTTGAAAAATATAAATGCACCTGTTGAAGTATGAAAGTCACCTAATAGCCACTGCAAATTGTATTTGATAGCATGTCTCAGTAATAAAGTGCTTTACATGTTATATTATTTAATCTTCACTACAACCTTGTAAGGTAAGTGTTATCATTATTTCACAGATGGAGAAACTGAGGCACAGGCTCACAGAGCCAGCGAGTGAGGAGTCAGGAATGGGAACCGCAATACCTGGGTCGAGATATATGAGCCAATACAGCATACAGTTGGGGGAAGAAATCCCAGCACTTCAGTTCTTACCATTGTATAATTCCCATCATTGTGATCAGAGTCCTCACACAATTACGTGCATAGATTTTTCAACTTCCTATTGCATCATAAGCAGTTTCTGATGGTACTTGTGCGGCCTTCTTAACATTTTTAGGAAGCACACATAGTATTCTGAGTGACTTCTTTTAGCCTCCATCTCCCACATGAGCTAAAATGTCTTATTCTGTCAGGCTTATCCCCTGCAGGCTTACCACTGTGCCCTGAGCACACTTATTTAATTTAATCTACTGCCCTCTGTTATGGTTTAGATCTAGATTGTCCCCCAGAGGTAGGGCCTGTAGAAGGCGATCGGATCATGGAGATCTACATGCCTGTGTTGATGTACTATTGGGTGCTAGGCCATGGTTGGAAGAGGTGGGTTGCTAGGAGCAAGATCTAGAAAGATACATCTCTTCCCTGGCTCCTCCCTTCTCTCTCTGCTTCCTGGCTGCCATGCCTTGAGCACCTTTTACTTCTCCAGGCTTCTATCTTTCTGTTTCCGCCTTGGAGCCAGCAGACCAAAGAGTAAAACCGTGAGCCAAAATGAACCTCTCCTGTTCTAAGTTGGGGCTATTGGGTATTTTGTCCTAGCAATGGGAAAGTGACTAAGACACTCTATTCTCATTTGTGTAAATAGCTTCTATTTTTATACATACTTTAAATGTTTTAAAATATATTCCTACTTTACCCAAGATCTTATGGCTTTTGAAGTAATTTTTCAAATTCTTTTCTGGAAGGTAGTCTCCAATTAATTTTCAGGATTGTCAGTAATATATGAATGTACCAGTTTCATCCCCTTTCAGCAGAATTCTATAGAATTACATGGGATTTTTGGAAGTAATTTTGTGTATAAAAATCAGATTTCTTTGTTAAAATTGCACTTATGAATATTTGTGAAGAGGGAGGGAGGGAGGCAAGGGAAGGGAAGGAAAAGAAGGGAAGGAGAAAGCTAGCAGTATACCCAGTGAAATTTGAATTTCACAAGAACAACAAGTAAGTTTTAGTGAGTATGTCCTAAACATTTTCCTCAAATACTGCATGAGACATACTTAGATGAAAAATTATTCATCATTTCCCTGAAATTCAGTTTTAACCTGGTGATGTGCAGACCAAGGTGATCTAAAGTTGCACCTGGAGGCTATGCAACAGTGAGGCAAGAGTCCACCATACTCTGATGGAAGCAGAAAGTAGAAAAGAACTCTTAAGTGGGAAGGTTAAACTGTCATGCTTTCCCTACCCGTAAAATTCATCTTCTTTGCTGAGAAGCTGTAAATAGAACTATGCTTATGAACCAACCTATGAGTAAGAAAAGGAAGAAAATCAAATCGAACAGATCTAATTCAGGGACAAAAATGTTAAAAGTTAGGCAGGGAGTGGACATAAAGGGAAAGGAAAAACCCAATGAAATCCTAGACCATTAAGGGATGCTACTACTAGAAGGATCATCATGAAACTCAGCTTGATAAGAACCAAGATATTTCATATCATTTTAAGTCCATGTCTTAAATATTTTTAAATTTTGAAAACTGTAAAGATTATCACTTGATGCTGTGTTGAATGCATTTATTCAAATTCTCTCTGCACTGAATGTATGCACATCGGACGTTGTGCTGGCTCTAGGTTATAGAATATGGTTCTTGACCTCAAAGAATTCTTGTCAATACAGAAGACAGCCATGTAACTAAAATTACTGCAGTGGTGCTTGATAGTGGTGCTTAATTTCAAATTATTCAAATAAGTGAATAATTTTTTCAAATAAATGAATAATTTGAAATTATGTCCATTTTACCCATTTTCAAGCAATCATTCTCTTACATACAGCCATACCCTGAAGTGTGAATAAAAATTCCTCATCTTGGAAAACTATCAGAAACCTCAGAAGCAGACCTGGATCCCTGTGTTTTGGGCCATCTTCCCTGAGAGCTGAAGCCTAGACCAGCACCAGGTGTGTGTGATTTACAGCAGGCACGTGCCTGGGGAAAGGGGCATTAGGGAAATAGGAGAATAGGGCAAGGAGTCCAGCAGAGGTGTGGTACCACAGGAGAGTGGCTTTGGTCCATTCCCACAGGGAGCTCCAGGCCATGAGTTGCATGCTAGAACTGAATCCGGTGAAAGACAAAGGGATGATTCTAAATGCACCCAGGTCATTGTGACTGGCACACCACCACTCCCACCAGCTCCCAGTGAGCACATGCTTCCCCAGACATGGTGGCTGAGTGCTATTTTGTGGAGAAGAAACTGTGGGCCTTTAGGGGCCAGCGCCATCACAGCTGGAGGGTGGGGACACCAGCCTGCCAAAGAGGATCCAGGCTGGGCACCACCAGTGTGCCCAGTAGCCTCATGGGAGAAATTACATTGCATTATTACAGACTAATTCATTTAATGCCACACTACCAATTTTGCTGCTCCAGGAAGATACTTAACTCCCTGGGACTTGGTCATTTCAAAATTCATTCTTCTCAAAAAAAAAAAAAAAAAAGATTCATTCTTCTCCTCAGCCAGATTATTTTCTGCATCAAAGTCTGTCTAATACCAAGAAGACCAAATGAAACTTCTGTTCAACCTTGGCTGCTCCTTGGCACAAGTGCCATTTGTTTAGCGAATATGAGACACTCGAAATTTGTTTTCAGATGCCCAGATTCTGTCTTTGCCTCCATGAAACTGTGTTTAGATTCAAAATTATATTAGGCCTTCTAGACTATAAAACTGCCATTCTCCTTTCCAAAGCCCAAAATGGACTACTGTTAGGGAGCACAAAGTCCTTAGAAGTTTCTAGAAGAACTGAGTCATTGTATTACAAAATCCTGTAGCTTACACGGACTCTTGGCAGCTGGCCCATCTGCCTGGTTGCAAGAATGGCCAAGTCTATACCAGCTCAGTCCCAAGCTGTCACTCATCTCTGGTCAGTTCCCCTTATCCCCCATCCTAAAAAATCTAGCTGTCTTCTGCATCTCTTTCCACTGGATTTGTGTTTGGAGAACGCAAGGACATTTTAGAATATATATTATTTAAAATATGTTATGTTAAAGATACAATAGAAATGTAAATAGACTTCTTTAAGGAAGAGTGTTTTGTGAAGCAGTCACTACAAATTAGACACAGGGGTAGGAAGAGGCATAAATGAAATATCTACCTCCCTCCCACCCCAAGGCTCACTGTCTCCAGTGGACATGCAATCAGCAAGCAACAATAGCATGGGGAGAGAGGGGTTCAGAATTGTAGCAAGGCACTGCCCTGAAGACAATGTGATACACAGTAGTTCTCAGCCTCATCTGACCCAACCTTCTGCTGTTATACAGCTTTCTGCTACTGTAACAAAATGCCTGAGATAATCTGCTCATAAAGAAAAAAGGTTTATTTGGGCTCACAGTTGTGCAGGTTTCACTCCATGGTCAGCTGGGCCCACTGCTTTTGAGCCTGTAGCAAGGCAGCACCTCGTAGCAGGGAGCAGTGGTAGAGCAAAGCTGCTCACCTCATGACCAGGACAAAAGAGAGGACAAGGAAGGGGCTGGGGTCTCACTGTCCCCTTTGAGGACCCATCCCCAAGGACTAGAAGACCTCCCACCAGGCCTCACCTCGTCAAGTTTTCACCACCTCTCAGTAGTGCTACTCCAGGGAACAAGCCTGGGCCTAGGGAAACACAAAGATCCAGGCTATAGCATTCCCTTTTTTATTACGGGAATTTTCTCACATCTTTAGCTTAGAATCACATACATGAGACACTATGGGCAAGTGTGTTGGAAACACGTTGACATGTTTAGAAAGCACAAACTCGGTCTCTCAGTCCAGACAGTTATAGACAGGGTGTTCTCCTTCAGTGATGTTCACTGGAACATCCAACAGCTGCAGGGGACATGAAATCATTTTCTATTTTACGAGCATGTCTCGTACGCCTGACCCCCGTCCACTGAATGCCAGAAACACACCACACCCAGTCACTGTGACTTCTAAAACCACTCCAGTGCATTTCCAGAAAGCTCCTGGGAGTATGGGACCCCTCCCTTTTTGAGAACCATGGGGCAGAGAGGGTGGGAGTGAGGGTAACAGTATGAAGAGATGAAGTTCAGGTTTTATCGGGTGGTGGTGGGAAGGCACTGAAAAGTTTAAAGGAAGGGATGACCTAAACCACATTTAAAAGGATCACTATGACTAAAGGGCAGAAAACTGATCTCAGGGAGGCAAGAATGGAAGCTGGGGCACCTATCAGGAGGCTGCTGTAGTAATCTGGGGAGGTGGCAGGGGAATGAAGAGCAATAAATGCATCCCAGACACATTTAAGAGGCAGCATTGAGAAGGCTCATGGTGACTGTGATGTGTGGGGGATGCAGGAGGAGCCATGTGGGTGACAAAGAAGCGAGGGTCAAAATGACCTTGTTTCCTTCACTGAGCTTGGCAGATGGTGACGCTGCTTAGCAGAGTAGTGCAGAAAGAAATGCAGGTCTGAGGCGTTTGGTTTGCAGTCCCTGTGGAACAAGCCAAAGCCGAGCAGATCAGGAGCCTGCACCTAGGAAAGGGGTGTGGAGGAGGAGGGGCTGAGAGAGCCTCGAGGAGCCCCAGCGCTTGGCTGCGTCACCCAGGGCTGAGACCCGAGCCAAGGGGATGTCGGTCAGAGAACAATTAGGGAAAGCCCACCGTCCAGTCTCCTTACCTGAGCTGCTGGTGAAAACCATTCTCCATGCTGCTTTCAACACCACGAGTTCAAAAGGGCCAGCTCATGTGGCCAATATGCTTCAGCAACACAGTCTCTTCTATGTTACCCAGCACCATTAATCCACATTTTAAATAGTATTAGGCATAACAAACTCTTCTTCTTCTTTTTTTTTTCTTAAATTCTTTTATTGGTGCATTTTAGGTATACAATATGTTTACATTTATCACTGGGTGCTTGTACCTGAACATGATGTATCTTGGTTCTTATTTTTTCCCCATTACCTGTGCGCCCTTCACCCCCTCCAGCCTTCCCTATTTACATAGACTTCGTTTCCATTTTTTTCTTTTCTCACCATTTTTCCTTTCCCTTCTTTCCTTTCCCCTTCCCCTCCCGCCACCCCTACACCTTTGGACCTTTTCTTTCTATTTAAAATTATCAATTATTCACTTTAATCATTTTCATCCTTATTTACACTCTCAGTTTCTCACACTAGAGAAACTATTCGGTATTTACACATCTGTGTCCTATTTATTTCACTTAAGAGGATGGCCTCAATATGCATCCATTTAGCTATAAATGACTCTAATTTCTCATTCTTTATGGCTGAGTGGTACTCCATTTTATATTTTAAAAAAACCCACATCTTCTTTATCCAGTCTCCAGTTGATGGGCACTTGGGCTGTTTCCAAGCTTTAGCTATTACAAACTGTGCCGCTATGAACATGGGTGCACATATATCGCTGTGGTATGATTCTTTTAATTCTTTTGGGAGGATACCAAGCAGGGGAATAGCTGGGTCAAATGGGACCTCTAGTCCTAGTTCTTTGAGGTATCTCCATACTGATTTCCACAGCGGTTGCACCAGTCTGCACTCCCACCCACAATGGAGAAGGCTTCCTTTCTCCCCACACCCCCGCCAGCATTTGTTATTGGATGATTACTTGACAGCAGCCATTCTTTCTAGGGTGAGGCGGAATCTCAGTAACAAACTCTTCTTTAAAAATATAACTGAAGCCTGCTGCACAAGCACAAGGACCCAAGTTCGATCCCTGGTACCAAAAAATAAAAAATAAATTTAAAAAAATAAAAATATAACTGAATATCCTTTCACACGTAAAAGTTGAAAAAAGCATCTGTCCCCATAATAGCTGTATGGCCTATGCCAGTAATTCCCCAAACACATCTGTGGAATACTGGTTTTATAATGTGAATGAGTATTATTTGGATATAGGGCTAGGTCATTAAATAACTGGAAATATCTCAATAAATATTAAAAAATATCTTTCTTACCAGGTGTGGTGGTGCACAGTAATAATCCCAGCACTTGGGAGGCTGAGGCAGGAGGATCACCATAAGTTGACCGGACTGAACTGTCTCAAAAACACAAAAAAGAAACAAAAAAGGTATCTTTCTTGCAGGACTTTCGGGAGCCTCTAATATGTTAATCTATCCAGTTCCTCTCCAAGAAGGAAGCATAGGTTGCTGTAGAACTCCACTGTTTACGCATAATTGGAAAACTTGCAGGAGAATTTCATGGAGTCAGAGTCCACTTTAACATGATGAGAAACTCTGTCAAAACCGTAATTTTTTAACTTACCACAAGCAAACCACTTAGTTAAAATTTTTCAAATCTAAGACAAATATATAAGCCAGTGAAAACTAATGATGATGGCAATAAAAAGGCAAACCCAGCCCAGGGATGTAGCTCAGTGGCACCACACCTGCCTGGCAAGCACAAGGTCCTGAGTTTGATCCCCGATACCAAAAAAACAGGAAAAAAAAAAAAAAAGGCAAAGTCTATTTTCTTTGCCATGACTCAGTAAATGTAAATATCTAGCTGAAGATTTCTTAAATAACTGAACATCATAAAATCTTCAGGCCTCTACAATTTAAAGGATTGCATCAAGTCTCTTTTGAATCCTTATTCTCAGAGATCTGTTTTTTTAATATAACAAGAATCTTGGACAGTGGACAGTTGGAACATGAGTCTTCTTTTTTCGTTATTTCAAAAGCTCGACCTTATTCCCCGAACCTGTCCATTAGAGGCTTCCTGCAGGCAGCAGGCCATGGCGGAGGATCAGCTGCACAGCTGTGTTGAAGCCACCTCGGAAGTGGGGCCTCGAGTGGTCCCCGGTGCGTGTGAAAGGCTGGTCGCCAGCATCTCGGCCAAGCTGCACAACGGCGCAGTGTGTGAGTATCTCCCCATGGCCCCCGAGCACGATGCCTTTTAGATCTCCAGTGGATGGATGATTTTAGCACCCGCTCTACACAGCAAGCCCAACACCCGCCACCCATGCTGCCCACCGAGCAGTCAGAACAGAATGACAGATCCTCCCACAGGGGAAGAGGACCGTGCGTGGAGTGCTGACCTGCAGGAGCTATGGTCCTTCAATATTCATTGGAAATCCTTGAGTTTTAGGGCTGGAAGGAACTCTAACCAATTTCTTTCATCCCCAAACTTTCATTTAATAAATTAGGGTTTTAGAGTCCAAAAAGCACTGTGTAACTGGCTCATTTCACTCAGCCAGAGCAGAGGGCTTCTCAGCCTCAGCACTGCTGATGGTGCCAGCTGGGTGGCTCTTTGTCACGGCGCCTGCCTGTGCATGGTGTGGCGTTCAGCCCCTTGACACCAGTGTTGCCCACCCTAACTGTGATGCTCAAAAATGTCTCCAGACTTTGTCAGATATTCCTTGGGGGGCAAAATTGCCCCCGAGCTGAGAACCAGTGCTATGGAGTGACAACCACAGTAAGAGGTTCCACAGTAAGATTTCCAGGCAAATGCCTTCTCCTTCAGGGCGGGGCTGTGGCTTCAGTGCTCCCACCATCTCATAGAATATGTGCACTAGGGGAAATAAAAACTTGTAGGTGTGATTAAAAAAATTATGATGAATGTTAATTTTTAAAATTTTTGTTAGAGTAAAAGATACATTGCCATTAAAGCCCCTCAAAATCCTTCCCTTTCATTTCAAACACACTTGGCCCATCATTCTTGCCACTTTCTGGAGCAGTTCTGGAAGTCCTTTTTCATAAGTATCTTTAGTCGCAGTGTCATGGCTGCCTCAGAGTCCTGAATTGATTTGAAACGTTTACCTTCCATGGTCATTTTGACCTTGGGGAAGAGCCAGACATCTCCCAGGGCCAGACCTGGTGAAAGGGGGAGAGAGGATATATTGCAGTGTTTTTACGTGCCTGCCTTTCCATTGGATGCACTCAGCAGCAGCATTAACTGCATTTTTATCACACCTTGTAAAGACACTCATGAAGGAGGACTTCTAGAACTGCTTCAGGAAGTAGCAAGAATCATGGACAAGTGTGTTTGAAACAAGGGGGAGTTTCTGAGGGGATCAGTGTGTCTTTTACTGCAATAATTTTTAAAGATCTAACCATTCCCTGTATATTTTGATCATGTCTCATAGGACATCAGGAATTGAAGGAATAATACCAATTGTAACACTTGCCTTCAGATCATTGTTTAAAACAATTCATTTTAAGCGTTTCATTAACTTTTCAAATAATGTTTGTTGAGTGCTTACTACATGCTAAATGATATTCTAAATATTACAGAAGCATTACTGCCTTTGATCTGGACCACAGTCCCACAGAATATATCCTACATTATCCCTGCCTGCCAGCAGTTCAGGCAGTTGAAGATTAGAGAGGCAACAAATGAAGAAGGTACCTAAAGGCACAGGGGACACAGTACTTCTCTCTGCCAGCTCCCTCACCTCTGCCTCCTGCCTTTCTCCCTGCAGCCTGCAAGTGCCACCCCCAGGGCGTGGTCGGGCCCCAATGCAGCCCATTGGGAGGCCAGTGCCAGTGCAAACTCCGCGTGGCTGGGCGCTGCTGTGACAGGTGCTCCGCGGGAAGCTGTGGTTTGGGACATCATGGCTGTCACCGTATGTAGCAAAAACTAGGAGGGGAAATGTGTTCATTCACAACCTTGGTGTTTTGAGGGCAGGCAAAGGGACGTGGGGCTTTTCAAGGAGGCTTTTCAAGGAGAGGGAACTGGAACTTGACCACACTATGCTGATTTAGTCTGTCTATGTAACTGAAATGTGCCGGAAGATTTTCTACCACACCTCAGTCCTTCACTGGTCGATGGCATTCTGTAGAGATCTCTATTAGGAGCTACAAGTCACGAACAGAACGAGGCCCATGCTTCCGGGAGTTTGCATCGGCCTGAAATGGGCCACAGTCTGGGTAACACTGGCAGCACCAAGAAGACAGTTGGTTGTGCACACCCAGCTTTATGGTGTGGCCTTTGAGCCCAGTGGCTGGAGAGGTTAGAACAACCATGAGACTGGGAAACCAGGGAAGGGATGCCACTGTCACCCAGGTAAGGCCTCCTGACTAAGGTTGCCTCTGTTCTGATGCTGAGCCTCAAACAGCCTTACAGCTCATTTTCTACCCAGCCTCTAATGACGACTCAGACAGAGCTTCAACCATGGTTGGTGATTCAGCTCCTACGGCCGCCATGTTCGGCATATGTAGCTCCTGTTCCCCATGGAAACCTTTAGTGAAAACGTTACTCCCAACAGAAAGCTACATCAGGATCCATGAAACCTACTGTACGTTAATTCTCATTTGCAGCAGAGGAACATATCTTTTGAGCCATGATTCAGAGAGGTGGTCCCCTTCCTGGTTGCTGCTTGGGCATAGCTGCCTCCCCAGCAAACAGTGAGCAGGTTCTACACTGCTTACTTTTTTAAAGTTATGAAACGCTTGAGAGACACAGAGGGATCTACACAAAGGAGCAAGTGTTTCTTCCATTCCATGTGGTCCTCGCTAACACCACATAGCCAATGAACCTAGAATTCAAATCCACCAAGTCCAGATGCAAAATCTGTACACTTTTTGTTGTTTACTTGCTTGCTTGTTTGTTTTTCACTACTGGGGATTGAACCCAAGACCTTTACACTGAGCCACATCCCCAGATCTTTTTTTTTTTTTGAGACAGGGTCTTGCTAAGTCACTAAATTGCCCAGATTGGGGTCAAACTTTCAACTCTCCTGCTTCATCTTCCCACAGTGCTGGGATTACAGGCACCTGGTTTGGGATTACAGGAATGCCCCAGTTCCATGGATCTTACATTTTTACAAATTTCAGTCCTACTTTGACTCCTAAGATGTATGAAAGTTTAAGTCATTAAAATTATGTTGCTTGTTCAGTTCCTGTGTACAAACAGCATTTTTTTTTTTTTTTTGGTACCAGGGATCAAACTCAGGACCTTGGGCTTGCAAGGCAGGCACAGTGCCACTGAGCTAAATCCCCGGCTCCAAACAGCAAATGTTTAAGGACCAGTTGTTCACAATCTGTCATTTATTAAAGGAATCAGTAAATCATTATTTACCTCGTATTCATTATATACCAGGGTTTGTCCTAAGCACCCTATAAACTCACTTTACCCACCTCGGCTGGGACAGGCAATGCAAAATGAGAACTGCAGCCCTCCCGCTACCATGCCACTTGCTCTGCCCCAACAGAGTTCTCTGTGCTTTATCCAGCATGTGACTGCCATCCTCAAGGCTCAGAGAACACGGTATGTGACCCAATAACTGGTCAGTGCCCCTGCCACGGAGAGGCGGCCGGCCGCCGTTGTGATCAGTGTCTGGTGGGCTACTTTGGATTTCCCAGCTGTCGCCCATGCCCTTGTAATGGGTTTGCTGAACTTTGTGATCCAGAGACAGGGTCATGCTTCAAATGCAGGGGCTTTACAACTGGAAGAAACTGTGAAAGGTATGGAATTCACATGCACTTTAAGTTTCAGATTTTTAAAGTTTTATTCTGATTTCTCAATGGAAGACTCAACAGTATGTGTGGAACAACTAGTACGGGTGGGGAAAGTCACTGTTCCATCATCCTTTAAAATCATCTTGTGAGCCAAAAATGTCGGATTAAGTCAATAACACATTTTCCTGGCCCATGACTTTTATATGCCTTAACTGTGACATGTAAATCATAAAGCTTAATGACTGTACCTTGAGGTTTTCACTACAAAACAAAAATTCTTTTACAGAGAAAATAAGCATCTTCTAAAACATTGAGCTTTGAAAGTTGTGTTGTCTTAAAGCATAGCAAACCCATGTTGGCTAACACGTGAGATTTTCCCAGGAACATTTTGGTAAAAGGAAATTCCTTTGACAGGTGCATCGATGGTTACTATGGAAACCCTTCTTTAGGACAATCTTGTCGACCTTGCCTGGGTCCAGATGTTCCCTCGAGCAGTCGGTATTTTGCCCGTTCATGTTATCAGAATCCTCGGAGCTCAGATATAATCTGCAATTGTCTGCAGGGTTATACAGGTATGGCTTGGTCACATGTTCATAATGGATCTGCCAGGCACACATGAGAGGTGCAGAATATACTAAGGAAAGGAGGCATAATGTGCTGACATGCTGCCTTCCGGAAGGAAGAATGTGAATGATTCAGAAGCCAGTGACATTCACTCAATTCCACTGAGCTGTAATTTTTTAAATAATGTTTTACAAAACCAGTTGACCAAATAAGATCACATCACATTAATTTATTTAAAATATAACCATCACGTGCTAAATGAGACATAGAGATATGCATATGACTGAATAGCATATATATTATATATAACACATTATATAAGCAATTAAAAAGTACAAATTTGATTAGCCAAAATCTTTCCTTGTATTATTCCAAGCAATCAATTTGGTATTTCACACATATGGCTAATTTTTTTTCAATGTCTTCAAGCATTACTTTGGGTATTATGCAGATATTGTGTAAGTCTTAGTTCAAAATTTGTATCTCTGCTCCATCAAAAATTTTATTTTAAAAAGCTTAAGCATGCATATGAATATATAATGCAAATAAGACAACTTACAAAGTCTGCTTGATTCTGTCCCACTTAGGAAACATGGCAGTATTATTTTCTTTGATGGTATTTACCATCTTAATAACAAATAACATGCCTGATTTTCTTCTTAGTTGTTACATCTGAGGTTACACATGGCATTAGCTGATTCTTCCCCTTCTCCAAGCACGGCTGGGCTTGATTGCAGTTTGTAAGACTGAGACTATCTTTAGGCTTATGGCATTTCCAGGAGGCTGAACCGAAACGTAGAGAGAAGCCTCACGTTTGGGGCACCCAGGCACGGTTGCCTTGAGGTTGGAGTGGTCAGGAGTGTTGGAGGGAACAATGGGCGGTCCACACCGGGCTCAGCGGATGCTCCCCGAGGCCTCGCACGCGGAAAGCTGCTCCCGCCCGCCTTCACTCTTGACACCTCTCTCGGGCTGTTGCTGTTTGGCACGTCCCCTTCCGATCATACCTCACCTCTAGGATGTTCCAGAGGACAAGGGCTGAGCAGAGCTCGGATCCTGGGACCCACGAGAGTAACCGTAGTTATATAGAGACCTAGGAATCCTGTGCCCCCAACTCCTTGGCTTTTTTTTTCTCCTTAGCTTTTGAAGAAAGACCAAAATCCATTCTTCACAGAGACATTTAGCTCTGAAAAACTTTTTTTGTTCTCTCTTAAACAAAAGTTAATGTTTTGTTTAATTTACAGTATTTTTCCTTATTCTCCCCAAATGTGCGTCTTCGGGTCATCCCTAGTGGAGCTCAGTGACTCCATTTCCGTCAGTCTCTTCCTGTCCTCCAGTACTCACATCATCCCATCCCCCCTTTTGCAGGGACCCAGTGTGTGGAATGCGCTCCTGGTTTCTATGGCAATCCACAAGTTTCCGCGCACCTTGCCAGCCATGTGTCTGCAACCACAACATAGACGTGACTGACCCAGAGGCCTGCAGCCGGGTGACAGGCCTCTGCCTTCAATGTCTGCACAATACCCAGGGCCCAAACTGCCAGCTCTGCAAAGCAGGTCACTTTGGCTCTGCCCTCAATCAGACCTGCAAAAGTAAGTCAGCAGAGCTCAGGGAAGAGACTGAGCCCAGCTAATGAAAGTGGGGTCAGCAAAGCCCAGGCTCGCATCACTCGGGCAGTCCCCGCGGCAAAGCTGCACCCGCTGCACGCAGAGTCGTGGCCCTGAGCTTGTCTACAGGAATGGGGGCAACCTCCCGCCTCAGGGGTGGTTACAATGTACTCACTGCTCTTGTCAGTTTCCCTTTTGTGACTGGGACTCCAATGAGTGTAATCATTATGTACTACAAACATGTACCGATAAAAAATGAAAAAGAAAAGAGTATTAAAAATCATAGTAAGGGCCGGGATTTAGCTCAGCGGTTTCGCCGCCAGCTGCGCAATCTCAAGGACCCGAGTTCGATCCCCGGTACCAAAAAAAAAAAAACAAAAAATCATAGTAAGTGATCACATAGCTGTTAGTTTGATTTTAAAAGAAACATTTCAGGAGCCGGGGATTTAGCTCAGTAGTTCTGCCGCCTGCCTCGGAAGCACAAGGACCCGAGTTCGATACCCGGTAGCCCCCCCGCCCCCAAAAAAGAATAAATGAGACATTTCAGATAGTCAATAGGATCCCTCGCAGAACAATCAGTGTAGGGCCTAAGACCACAAGCATTTCTTGTAGAAATCATTTAGAGTGGAAAGATGTTACCTTCACTTTGTATTTTCCTTTTCCTAATTAGCACCTTCCATTTTCCGACAACTCTGTAAAACGATGAGTTGTAACTAATCTCTCTAAATTTATGTCTAAATTTTTCCTCTAAGTGCCATCCTTTTCACATAACTAACTTCTTCCTTTTCCTCCTAAATCGTGATTATTTTTTGTTGTCTTTATTTTTAATTTTTAAATATTTTTAAAATACTGCTCCTGAAGGAAATGTGAGGAAAGTTAAAAGACAAAAAAAAAAAAAAAGCCACGCATTGTTCCTTACCTGAACACCACTAGTTCTGATAACAATTATTGACGTGACTTTGCTTTGCTTCCATTTCCCCCTATGGAGTGGGACTTTTCTAAATGGAGGAATTTTAAAATGTACTTATTTATATTTTTCTCATATTGCATGCTGTTTATCAAAAGCTTCATAAATAAAACTTTATCCATATTAACAAGTATTTTCTTGTAAGTTTTAAGAAAAATAGAGTCACAGTTATGGAGATATTTTAAGATTATTTATAAATCTTGCCAAATTGCTTTCCAAAAGGAACAAATCAGTTTAACTTCATACCAATAATCTCTCCAACTACAGTGTTTTATTACAAACTTTCCAGCAGCAATTCTACATTAATAAATATATTAAAGGAATTACTTTTCACTTTATCCCCTCCCAGCCCCTAAAAGATATTTCTTTGGTTCTTTGTGGTATTTTTCTTGCTTATACTAAAATTGAAAAATAAAATTGAAAATATGTTTTTAAAAACAAGGAAAAGGGAGAATAAAGTTTTCATATTTTAGGAGCTGTTTCAGTGTTTCAGCATACCCAAGTCAACTTAGTAAACCAGTTTCCCAAATCATTTTTTTATTAAATAAGTTTACTGGTACAATTTAGATATAAATAATGATCATTTTCATCATATGGAATTTGTACCTGCACATGATATATCTTGATTCTTTTTCTTCCCCTCCCTTCAAACCCTCTTCCCCTCCTTATTTAAAAAAGGTTTGTTTCCACTATATCTTTCTTTTCTTGTTTTTCTTTCTTTTCCCTTCCTTCCTTTCCCCCTCCCCCTTCCCTAGTGCCCCTTCCCACTTGAATATTTTCTTCCTATTTTACAATGTCTATTATACATTCTGGACATTATTTACATTTTCAGCTTCTCATACCAGAGAAACAATGTGATATTTACATATTTCTGTCTGATTTTTTTCACTTAAGAGTAGGGTCACAAGGTGCATCCATTTACCTATTAATGTCTCAAGTTTATCCTTCTTTATGGCTGAGTAATACTCCATTGTATAAAACCCACCACATCTTCTTTATCCATTCATTGGTTGATGGGCATTTGGACTGTTTCCAAGATTTACCTATTACAAACTGTGCTGCTATAAACTTGGGTGTGCAAATATCACTATGGTATGATGCTTTTAATTCTTTTGGGAAGATACCAAGAAGAGGAATAGCTGGGTCAAATGGGACCTCTAGTCCTAGTTCTTTGAGGAATCTCCATACTGATTTCCACAGTGGTTGCACCAGTCTGCACTCCCACCAGCAGTGGAGCAGGGTTCCTTTTTCCCCACAGCCCCACCAGCATTTGTTATTGGTTGATTCTTCATAATAGCCATTCTTACTGGGGTGAGATGGAATCTCAGTGTTGTTTTAATTTTCATCTCTCAGATGACCAGTGATGCTGAATATTTTTTATATGTATTTATTTGTCATTTGAACTTCTTCATCTGAGAAGTATGTATTCATCTCAGATGCCCATTTTTGGATTGGGTCTTTAAATTGGGGGGGTAGTTTTTTCAGTTCTTTATATATTCTCGATATAGGTCTTTTGTCTGAGGAACAATTGGCAAAAATATTTTCCCACTCTGTTGGTTGTCTCTTCACTCTGTTGGTGATTACTTTTGCTGTGCAAAAGATTTTAATGAGATCCCAGTTGTTGATTCTTTGTAATATTTCCCATGCAATATGGGTTTTGTTCATAAAGTCTTTGCCAATACCTATGTCTTCAAGAGTCCCACCTATTCTCTCTTCCAGCAGATTTAGTGTTTCTGTTTTAATATTTAGATCTTTGATCCATTTTGATTTTAGTTTAGTGCATGGTGAGAGACATGGGTCTAGTTTTAGTCTTTGGCATATGGAAAGCCAGTTTTTCCAGCCCCATTTATTGAAGAGGCTATCTTTCTTCCAGTGAACGTATTTAGCTCCTTTGCTGAAGATAAGGTGGCTGAGTGTGTTTGGAGTTGTTTCTGTATCTTCTAGTCTGTTCCATTGATCCTTGGGTCTGTTTTGTTTTGTTTACCAGTACTATACTGTTTTTATCATAATAGCTCTGTAATATAATTTCAAGTCAAAGATTGTGATGCGTCCTGCCTTGCCTTTGTTGCCCAGAATTGTTTTTGCTATTCTAGATCTCATCTGGTTCCAAATGAATTTTTAGGAGTATTTTCTCTAGTTCTGTGAAGTATGCTATTGGTATTTTTATTGGTATTGCATTAAATCTGTATAACAATTTTGGGAGTATGACCATTTTTATTATGTTGGTTCTTCCTACTCATGAGCAAGGGATATCTTTCCATTTTCTGATATCCTCTTCAATCTCCTTTTTCAGAATATTGTTTTCAATGTAAAGGTCTTTTACTTCCTTTGTTAGATTGATTCCTAAGTAATTCATTTTTTTTTCAATCCTATTGTGAAAAGAATGGTTTCCCTAATTTCTTTCTCAGTAAGTTTGTTATTTGTGTATAGGAAGGCTATTGACTTTTGAGTGTTGACTTTGTATCCAGCTATGCAACTAAATTTGGTTATTAAATCTAGACATCTTTTGGTGAAGTTTTTGGGGTCTTCTATGTAGAGTATATGTCATCTGCAAATAATGATAGTTTAACTTCTTCCTTTCCTATCTTTATTCCTTTTATTACTTTCTCTTGTTTAATTGCTCTGACTAATGTTTCCAGAACTATGTTGAATAAGAGTGGTGACAGTGGACATCCTTGTCTTGTTCCTGATTTTAGAGTGAAAGCTTTCAGGTTTTGACCATTTAGTATGACGTTGGCTGTTCGTTTATCATAGATGGCTTCTTTCAGATTGAGATAAAGACCATCTATCCCAATTTTCTATAGGGTTTTTATCATAAATGGGTGTTGGACTTTGTCAGATGATTTTTCTGCATCTATTGAGAGGATCATGTGATTTTTGTTCGTGGCTGTGTTGATATAGTGTACTACATTTATTGATTTGCATGTGTTGAACCATCCCTGCATCCCTGGGATGAATCCTACTTGGTCAAGGTCTTTTTGATGATTTGCTGCATTCTGTTTCCCAGTATCTTATTGAGGATTTTTGTGTCTATGTTCATTAGGGAGATTGACCTGTGGTTCTCTTTTTTGGTTGGATCCTTCTCTGGGTTTGGTATTAGGATAATACTTGCTTCCAGAAGAGACTTTGAGAGTATTGCTTCCCTTTCAATTTCATTAAAGAGTTTGAGGAGTAGTGGCATTAGATCTTCTCTAAATTTTTTGTAGAATTCAACTGTGAATCTATCAAGACCTGGCCTTTTGTTTGTTGAAAGGATTTTTTAAATTAAATTTTCAATTTCATTGGTTGATAATTGGTTTATTTAGAATTTTTATATCTTCTTGATTCAGCTTTGGTAATTAAAATGTATCTAGGAATTTCTGCATTTCTTCTGTGTTTTCCATCTTATTAGAATAAAGGTTCTTAAAGTAGGTATTGATGATCTAGATTTCTGCAGAATCAGTTGTGATTTCACACTTTTCATTCCTAATTGCATAGATTTGAGTCTTTTCTTTCCTTTTTTTTCTGATAAGGTTGGCTAGGATTTATCAATCTTATTTAATCTTTCAAAGAACCAACTCTTCAATTCATTGATTCTTTGCGTTGTTTTCTTAGTCTCATTTGAATTAATTTCTGCTCTGATTTTATAATTTCCCCCCTCATATGAGCTTTGGGTTTGACTTGTTCTTTTTCTAGAAGTTTGGGGTTCAACATTAGGTTGTTTATTTCAGCTGGCTCAGTTTTCCTGATGTGAGAGTTCACCACTATAAGTTTCCCTTGTAGGACTGTTTTCATTGTGACCCATAAGTTTGGTATGTTATTTTGGGATTATCATTTCATTGTAGAAACTAATTTCTTCTTTAATTTCATCTATGACCCATTGGTTGTTTAGGAGTGTGTTATTTAATTTCCATGTGTTTATGTAGTTTTTATGGTTTCTTTTGCCATTGATTTCCAGATTCATTGCACTGTGGTCTGACAATATATATAGGATGATAATTTCAATTCCTTTGCATTTACTTAAGCATGTTCTATGAGCTAGTACGCAGTCTATTTTGGAGAACATCCCATGTGCAGCTGAGAAGAATGTGTATTCTGATGTTGTGGGGTGGAACCCTCTGTATACTAAGTCCATCTGTTCACATGTTTGGTTTAGTTCTGATATTTCTTTGTTGATTTTTTTTGTCTAGTTGATCTATTGTGATAGTGGAGTACTGAGATTCCCCCATTATAATTGTGTTAGTGCTTATTTGATTTTTTCATGTCCATTAATGTTTGTTTTATATAGTTGGGTGTGCTGGTATTTGGTGCATGTATATTTATGATTACTATCTCTTCTTAGAGTTTTCCCTAAACAAGTATGTAGTGACCTTCCTTGTCTCTTTTGATTAGTCTTAGTTTGAAATTCATTTTGTCTGCAAATAGGATAACTACCCCTGCTTTTTAACCCAGTTCCTGTCACATGAAATATTATTTTCCATCCTTTGACTTTCAGTCTATGAATTTCTTTTTGAGTTAAATGTGTTTCCTGTATGCAGCAAATTGTTGCCTCTTCTTTCTTGATCCACTCTGCCAGTTTCTTTCTTTTGATTGGCGAATTGAGACCATTTACATTGACGGTTATAACTTACATATTGGCTTATCCTTGTCATAGTATTTTCCTGTTGTTGATTCCCTGGTTTCCCCCTCTGTTTAATTGCTTGCCTTGCCTGGTGGCTTCTGTTGGTGTTCTTGGAATTGTGGTCTTTATTATTTCTTTCTAAAATATCCTTCAGAACATTTTGTAGAGCTGGTTTGGTGATCATGAATTTCTTCAGTTGTTTTTTATCATGGAAGTATCTTATTTCTCCACTGATTCTGAAAGATAGTTTTGCAGGGTACATTAATCTGGGTTGCAGATTATTCTTGCAGGAATTGAAATACTTCACTCCAAGCTCTCCTTGACTTAAGGGTTTGTGTTGAGAAGTCTGCTGTGATTCTGATGGGCTTTTCTTTATAGGTGATTTGTTTCTTTTCTCTAACAGCTTTTGTGAGGGGGGTGCATTTTGGTTTTTGTTTGCTTGTTTGTGTTTTCTTGGGTACCGGGAATCAAACTCAGAACCTTGCCCTTGCAAGGCAGTTGTGATGCCACTAAGCTAAATCCCTGGCCTTCTAACAGCTTTTAATATTCTGTTCTTCTGCTGGACTTCTGGACTCTTGATTATTATATGGCTTGGTGTAGATTTATTTTGGTCTAGCTAAATGGAGCTCTATATGACTCTTTTGTGTGTCAAATTCTTTTTCCATGTTTGGGAAGTTTTCAACCATTACTTCTGTGAATAGGTTTCTTTAATGTCTTTTGCACTGACTCTTGCTTTTTCACTGTCTCCAATCAGTCTTATGTTGTTCTTCTTTACCTTGTCTTGCAGCTGTTGGATTGATTTTTCATGATCCCTTGCTATTTGAAGAGATCTTTCTTTTCATGATCAGTAACCACAATCCTGTCTTCTAGGTCTGATATTCTGTCCTCACTTTCATTCATTTGGCTTTGTAAACTTTCAATGGAGTTTTAAATCTCCTAGATATCTGTTTGCATTTGTTTCATGGATTTCATTTCTTTCCTATGTTGGGCATTCATGGTTTCCATCATTTTCCTAAAGCTCTTATATTTTTCTATCTTTGTTTACTCTAGATTCACTGAACAAGTCCTTCATTTTGATCATCATCTTTTTTTTACCTGAGATATTATTTCTGATTTTATTTTCTCTATAGCTCCATACATCTGTTTATTTACTTCTGCTGCTATCATTTCAGAAAATTCAGGTGGATAGCTTCTGATTTCCTCTATCTGATTGTCCCCTAGATTTGTCCAGGGTGGGCTGGAGCTCTGGATTTGCATTTTGCTTCTGTGTCTTATTATTTTTCTATGTTTTTATTTTAATTTGTTTTCTGTGTTGATGCTTCTAAGTTTTTCTATGGTAGGTAGCTTTATCACTAGCATTGAGGCTTCCCTAGGAAATGTCTATTACTCAGAGATGTCTTCTAGGTGGAGCTGGCTTTTGATCTTTGTGTCCCAAGACCCTACCTTCCCAATTTATTAGGGGTGAGAAGTTGCTATCAATTTGACTCAGTACCCAGTCCTTTCGTACTGGACTATAATGATGATTATGGCCCCAGATAGTCACAGTCTCCCTTGTTGTCATACAAGGAAAAGCAACTGATTACAACATGTTTGGCATCCTGGCTTCAGTAGTACAATTAGCAATAACAATAACATCAAACACAACCTAGAAACTGACAAACTGTGGTAACTATTAATTTGGTACCTTTAACTGTAGGAGCAAGATCTATAGTTTTATAACAAAATCTAACATAAACCAGGAACTTGCATGCTGTGAGTTTCTCCTTGGTAGAATGTTTTTACCCTGTGAGAGGGAAATTTAAAATAGGGATAGGGGACAAAACAGAGAGATAACTGGGCTGGGGAATTCAGCTCAGTGGCGCCACAGCTGCCTCGAAGCACAAGGTCCTGAGGTTGATCCCTGGTACTACAAAAAAAACAAAAACAAAACAAAACAAAAAAAGAGAGATAACTGAAGAGAAATATAATAGAAGCAAGGCTGAAAGACAAAGAATGAACCCAAGCTTTGGTAAACAGAAGAGGACAGGAGAGAAAGAATGAAGAAGAAAGCAAAAGAATATATCAAAGCAAACCAGAAAGACTAGAGATGAGGTTCACTCACAGGAAAATATCAAAGAATCACGAAAAACAGTTGAGGAAAGAGAGAATCAGGATGGACAAAACTAAACAAACAATAAAAGTAAAAATCTAAACAACCAAAAATAAAGAGAGAGAAAGAAAGGAAAATGAAACAAAGAAAGAAATATTAAAAACAAAGAAAAGCCTGGCTCCGGCAGTTCTGTGTTCATGTTCAAGTCAGAGCCCAAATCTGTGCTGGGTAAGCCGCCGAGTCTGCAGCAGATTAGTGCTGGGTGTGGGGCTGATCTTAGCCTCCAGATGTGGGGCTGGGGCCAGTCTTCCGCCCCTTGGTGATGTCCCTTGATGGCCGCCCATGTCTCCTTACCTGTCTTCGCCTGTGCCACTTTCCCAGTTGCTGTGGCACCCTCAGACAGAGCCAGCCTCATGCAGCTCCCAGGCCTGTGTAGTTGGTCCCTCCTGGACCTTGCGCAGCCTCCTCTGATCCACACCCGCTCCTCTCAGGAGGCCGGTCACAGGGCCAGGGGAGGGCTGACTTCACTTCCCACCTCCGGAGGCTGCTCGAATCCAGGGTTCACAGTCTGTACTCCTCTCTCCGCCTGCTGGTCCTGGGGAAGGAGAGGTCCCGCTGCTCCACCCAGTACCCTCACCCTGAGTCCTCACCTTGTCACTAAGGGTTTCAGTTAGCCACTACTCTCCCAAATCATTTAAATAAGTAGAACTGGGGCTGAGCACGAGGGGAAAGCAAGACAGGCTCCCTGTGAGCTCCTGGAGCATGGAAGGTTAAGCCATGTGAAACTGGTCCTGGGAGATCAAAGTGATTGAACGGGCTCGACCTGCTTAGCTCTCTAATAAATCCTGTACTATTAGAAGGTGTTTCTTCTTTGAGCCCTTTGGAGAATGACCTGTTAGGTCTACAAAACTGTTTAGATGGTTAGTTTAACACCAGTGTTATAGACTCTACCTCTAACGACAGCTTTATTATCCCAGGCTGCTCCTGCCATCCTCCCAGGGTGAGGCCCTCGGAGTGTCCTGTGCCTCTGTGACCCTCTCACTGGGGCGTGCCCTTGCCTGCCCAATGTCACCGGCCTGGCCTGTGACCGCTGTGACGATGGATACTGGAACCTGGTCCCTGGCAGAGGGTGTCAGCCGTGCAACTGTGACTCCAGGACCTCTCGGAATAGCCACTGTGACCAGGCAAGACACTAAAGCTTACCGTGCACTCAGAGTGTGATGGTGAACACGGCTTCCAAGTGTGTGTTTATGTGCTGCTGATCATTTGTGTTTCTCGACGCGATGGATGGGCCTTATACAGGGATAAGGAATTATTAACCAAGCAATACAAGAAAAGAGGATGAGGGCCTCAGAGTTAAACTTCACCTACTTGAGTTCTCTATCAAGCTTCCCTTTCACTACTTTATACACGCAATCATAGGGAAAACCCAAGAAGTAGATTGTTAATCAGAAGTTATTATTAATCAGAAAAAAAATAAATAGGTGCCTTCAGAATCCAGAATTTCATTTTTTAAATGAAGCTGCCACTCCCTGTGACTTGCCACTGCTTTCTGTGTGGGTAACCTAACATGTTTTCTTTTTCTTTTTTTTTTTTTGGTATCGGGGATCGAACTTGGGTCCTTGCGCTTGCGCAGCAGGCGGCGAAACCACTGAGCTAAATCCCTGGCCCCTAAGATGTCTTCTTAACTTCCAGACCAGCACATACAGTCAATACCACATAACTGCATGTGATTTTCAGCCAATAAGAAAAGAAGCACAGAATTTTTAACAAATATTATAACATTATTTATTTATGGAAAAATTATTAATGCCATGCTTAGTTTTTTTGTTTTGTTATTCTTTTGTTGTTGTTCTTTTTTCTGGCTTCATGAATCTCTTCTTTGAAATACTTTCCACATTAATAGAGGTAGGTGAAGAGGTAAAACAATAATAAAAATCTAGAAAAGTCAAATCTACAATATAGGGAACAGAGTTTAATTGGAATAAAAATGCTGGAGTCTTCTGAATTGGTAAGTGTGGCTCACCTACAATTTCAGCTTCACTGTTCAGCTTACTTGTATTATCCAATCAAACATTTGAAGGTACTTCATATATATATATATATATGTTCTCCCTTCTCTTTTTCTTCGCTGACCCTCCTCCACTCCACCAATCCACACCAATGAACCATACTTTTTTCAAATGCATAAACTTTTTCTTTTAGGATAGATTTGATTTCAGAGATTATGACAACAGTGCAGGCAAAGTACCCGACACCCAGTTTCCCCCATTAGCATCTTATGGTAATATGAGGTATTTTTCACAATTAATAACCAATACTGATATATTATCACTTACTAAACCCCATCATTTTTTCAGATTTCTTAAATTTTTTTAGATTTCCTTAATTTTTATCTAATATCTTTCTTCTGCTCCAAGACCCCATCCACAACTGGTCACAATTAGTCATGATGTCTCCTTAGGGTCCTCTGAGCTGTGACAGATTCTCAGACTTACCTTGTTTTTGATGGCCTTAAATGTTTTGAAAAGTGGTTTGTAGAATGTCTGTTGGTTCAACAGACATCTAACATTTTTCTCACTACCCTGGAGTTAAGAGTTTTGAGAAGACCAAGGTGGTAAAGCACCATCATATTAAGTAAGGTACAGTGATTAACACAACTTGATGTGGCTCTTACCACCTACAGAAGTAGCAATTGTCAGATTCTATATTATAAAGTTACTCTTGGGCCGGGGATTTAGCTCAGTAGTTCCACCGCCTGCCTAGCAAGTACAAGGATCCAAGTTCGATCCCCGGTACCAAAAAAAAAGAGAGAGAAGATAAAGTTATTCTTGTCTATGTTTGCATACTGGGCCCTATGGAAGGAAGTCACTGCACACAGCCTGCACTTCAGGAGTAAGGAGTCATGTCTACTTCCTGGAGGCATAGCATCTCCATGAGTCTTTGGAACTGGGCATTGCAAGTTTACTTATGGTCTTCTATTTATTCATTTATTCAGCCATTTATTTCCATTACTGTGGATTCATGGATACTTACTTATACTACACCATTGGTCATAGCTCAACACTATTTTTTTTCCTGGTACCAGGAATCGAACTCAGGACCTTGCACCCGCCAGGTAGGTGTGGCGCCACTGAGCTAAATCCCCAGCCCAAGCTAAACACTATTTTGTTGTTCAACTTGTTCTGGCTTTGACCATTGGAAGCTCTTTCAGATAGCTCCTGTATCCCTTTAACATGCCCCAGTATTGTAGGCTTTTTCAAAGTACTTCCTCAATTTCTAGCAGGACAAAGTGCTCTGAGCTCATCTTATCTATTTCCTGCCCTTGTCCTAGAATTAACCATTTCTCTAAACGAGCACTGGTTCCTTTATTGGAGAATGGTGTCAGAAATCAAGATCTCAGCACTAGATGACCACACCTACCTTATATGTTCCTCTCTATCCTCCATACCTGCAGTAAATTAGTAGCTGCCCACATGACTGCTTGGCTTCCAGTTCATGAGACACTTCTAACATTCATGACCCCACTGTCTAGTTACTTCTTGGATCTTTTGGGAAGCAGCACTCTACATACTCTTCAGCCATGGAGGCTAAGGGCAGCTGTCAGCTGAAGGTCAGATGGCATTGGTTTAACCAAAAAGCCCCTTGTGACAAGGATTCTTTGGTTTGTTTGGCCCTTGGGTATCCCTTGGGGAAGGTTGCTCTCTACAATCAGGAAACACTTTCATTGGAGTACAGAGAAGACGTGGACAATTAGATCCCCAGCTGTTTAAACAACTACTGATAAATGTCTCTGTGTCAGCCAGGAGGTGGTCCCTAGCATGTTCCCACAGAGAGATCCAAACATGCTGTCCAGTATTTGCATCAGCAGCTTAGGTGGAGCTGGAGAAACAAGCTTCTCAGATTTGCAGATGCTACAGAGCTGTGAGCTAATATGAGAAAGACGGCAGAGGAGGCCACATAGACTAACCAGCTCCATGGAGGCTGGAAATGAGATGAAATGGTAACTGGGTAAAAGCAAAGTTGTGTAGTTAGGGTTTGGTTTTTTTCTTGGTTTTTTTATGGGGGGGGGTACCTCGGATCGAACTCAGGACCTTGAGCTTGCAAGGCAGGCGTGGTGCCACTGAGCTAAATTCCTGGCAGTTAGGGTTCTTTAAATCCCTTTAAATGCAGGGTGGAAATAATAACTCAGCACCAGGTCAAGTGAAAAATACCTGAGGATTTTCATTGTAAGCCAGCAGTGTACCAGGGCTATGAAAGAGGGGTGCCAATTCGAGCTGGAGTTGGGGTTCTGGGGCCACGTCCAGACCCAGGGCTGTCACCATCCCCACTATTGGCTCTGCTGGCCAGGCAGCAACAGGAGCATTGTTTTCATTTCTGAACACTAGATTTTTACAGTTTTTAAAAACTTTTAGTTGACACACAGTAATTGTCCATAATTGTTGTGTGATATTTTGATACATTTATAAGTGTGGAATAATCAATTCAGGGTAACTGGCATTTCAATCACCTCAAACGTTTATCCCTTCTTTATGCTGAGTACATTCAAAAAGCTCTCTTCTAGCTATTTTGAAATATATAACAGCCAGGTGTGGAGGCATAGCTCTGTAATCCCAGAACTTAGGAGGCTGAGGCAGGAGGACTGCCACAAGTTCAGAACCAGCCTGAACTACACAGCATGACCCTGCCTCCAAAAAATGCAATGAAATATGTAATAAATTATTGTTATCTGTAGTCATCCTGCTATGCTACAGACTACTGTAACTGAACCCTCCTATCTAACTGTATTTTTGTATCAATTAACTAACTTTTCTCTATCCTCCCCTCCCTCTGCCCTTCCCAGCCTCTGGTAGCCACTACTCTGCTCTCTACTTCTATGAGGGCATTTTTTTGATTCCGTGTATGAATGAAAATGTGCAGGATGTGTCTTTCTGCTAAGTAGCACATTTTAAACAAAACATAGACCCAAAAAGTATGTGTCCAAAGACAGACAACTAGGATAGTGGATAGAACCATGCTATTCTGTGACAAAGGAGTGAAGGAATTAGAGGTGGTCCGCCCCTCTGAGAGAAGCCATGGAGGGTTGGGAAGGAGGAAGCTGGCTTTGGCACAGTCCTTTGGCAAGACTCAGAACAATGAGTGAGTGTCACAGGGAGGCAGACTGCATCAGAACAAGAAAGCGCTTCCAGGGCCCAGAAAGGTGGTAGACTTCATCACTTTATGAATCCACCTACTTCCTAGCTACAGCAGTACTTATGGAATTGATGTTTAGGCTGATTTGGTTAAGTATAATTTATGACTACTACAATAGTGATTCGCTTTTATAGTACTTTTCTCCTGTTATTTTCCAATCTCCTCAGTTTTTAGAGAAGCTAATCAAGAAACCATTTGGGAGGGTACAGAAAGTCTTGCCTTCTCCCAAAAGCACAGTTAAATGTCATTAAATGGTTAATTATAAAGTACCCCCAAAAAAGTCATTTTGCTGAGCAAAACATTAGCCCTGTTGGTAGAAACTACATTGTACATTCCATAATGGAAATACTACTTGCCAAATTAACTGATGAATGATACACTAGGTCTCTGGCGCCTCTCTCTCTCTCTCTCTGGATCTCCCATAACTGCAGAGGAAATGAATGTGGCCTGTTTCCCAATGTGTTTTGTTTCCATTTACATCTGTGAATGCTTCCCAGGGTGGAGCCACCGGTCCTTGACCAGCTGGGAGCAGGCAGTATATTCAGGACCCCTAAACCAAACACACTATCCTGATCCTCTGTAGTATTGGGGTGGTGGCTGGCCTGGCCGTGGGAATTATCCTCCCTCCACCTCTGCACAGCTGTATGTTCTAAATCACCGGAGGGAAAGATGTTTCCTAGGAAAATGAATTATGTTGTTAGACCATAAAGCTTGTCAATTCCTCACCCGTGACTGTTCTCACAGCTTACAGGCCAATGTCCATGCAAATTAGGCTACGGTGGGAAACGCTCCAAGGAGTGCAAGAATTATTATGCGGATCCATTCGGGCGATGCATGCGTAAGTACTGGATTTCTAAAGCACACGAACACAGCCAGCTGGCCCTGACCCAGGCATACTGCAGACCAACTGAGTTTCAAATTCCTTTATTTGACTGTCTTCTTTAGAAGTTTGGGCTTAGTGGGAAACTCAAAGTTTTGTCCTAATTTTGAAAGTAATATTTTTGTAGCCCTATAAAAACTATTTTTCTCCTATACTAAAATCCTGAATTGTGTTAAGCTGTGTTAATATTTGTAGCCTCTATTAAAATCCTGAAAAGTCATTATAATGGAACAGACTCTATGATCATGACCTGTAGCCAGCTGTCTGCTATTTGGAAGCATTTGAGGAAAATCAGCCCCTCTAAATTGAAGTAGAAGCTGGGAGGGGAGTGAAGGAAACCAGAGAGAGGTCTCTTCAAAGTGACTCTCAGTCTGCGACATCACTTACTGACCAGTGTTCATAGAATTCCTGCTCAGTCCTGTAGGTAGTGAACACGCAAGGTGACACCCTTGTCCTCCTGGAGTTTGTGTTCCAGGGCCCTTCATCCCGTGGGTGAGCCCTAAGTGGAGGACTTAGAGCAGCTCTGTATGGTGGAACTTTCTACAGTTAGGGAAATGTTCCACATCCTACTGTCCAAGGCAGGAGCCACCAGCCAGAGGTAACTATCAAGCACGTCAGGGTAGGCGCAGCAACTGTGGAGCAGAATCATGTGTATGTTTTATTTTACTTATTTAAACTTAAATTGCCACATGTGGTTAGTGGGTACCATATTGGGCGGTGCAAATGTAGAATCTGAGTTGGTTCTAGGAGGCAGAATTTCCCAATCTCCACTTTAAGTCAGCTTCCTAGCCAAGTCGACCCAAAATAGAGTCAAATGCGAGGGGCTTATTGTCACCGTCACCTCTACATCGCCACACAAGGTAACTCATTGCTGCTCTCCATTCCCTTATAAATGTGCTCCTTGGCTAAAGACATTGCCATCCTTCCCTCGTCTCATTTAAGTGCATGTTCTTAACGATTTTCTCCAGGCCATGTGTAACTCAGTTTTCTAAGGTGAATTGCTAGTTTCAAATTCCGGGAGGAGGGGCCGGGGGTCAGCTCAGTGGCAGAGCACTTGCCTACCATGCAAAACACCCTGGGTTCAGCCTCCAGCCCCAAAAATCAGAAGAAAAACAAAAGCAAGGAGGAATGTTGCTCTTGGATAATCTGTATCAGACAGCCTCTTCCCCTACAGCCCTCTAATATTTTAGTCTTAGTTCCTAAAATGCTTTTATCTTTTATAGTGAAGCAAATAGAGGAAACTTTGCAAATTGTCAGCTCAGGCCACAGACCCCACTAAAGCTCCAGGGAAGAGGAGCTAACAAGGAGGAACCTTGGCTTCCAGCCGGTGAAGTGACATAATGCTGTCCCCAAGGGCTTCCTGCTGAGGCCCTTAGACCAAGTCTGAGTGTGCCGGACAGGTGATATCCCATAGAGGAGCCTAGTGTGTTGATCAGTTTTTATTTATAATTGCCAGTATTTCTGCTCAAGCTGTCATTTAAAATCACTTGTTTCTTGCAGCGAATCCAAAGACATAGACTAGTGATTCGCTAACGCTTTGGAAATCGCTATAATGGCAATACCCTCCCCCATCCTCCATCCTCTGGCTTGATCAGAAACCTACTCGGATAAAGTGATATGCAGCATCAGCTATTATTATTAGCATCTCTTCGCAGTACATATTGTGGGGTCTTGATACAGATACACATTACACCTTGATCCTCCCCGGCCTCCTAGCCCCAAGCCATTCCCAGGTCTCCTTCCCATCTCCATAAAGTCTATCTCCCTATTTCCTATCCTCTTTCTTTTATTTTACTCTGTAAATTATTTATACTTTGGGTTTCTTGTATAAAAGAAACCATGCCCTATTTAACCTCTGTGTCTGATTTATTTCATTATGCATTAGCATGATGGTCTCAAGGTGCATCCATTTTCCTACATAGCTATTTTTAAAATTAAGATAAAATGCATTTCATTTCTCCTCCTCCTCTTTTTGAGAAGAAATAGTTCCCTTCTACATGGGAAGGCAGTGTGGGTCAGCACACCCAGGCTGGGTGGTGTTGAGGATCACGGGAATCCTGGGACCTCTTAAAAGTCCCTGGCCCATCTAAGGCGGCCATGGGGACAGCAGAGTCACTGGTGCACTGCCCACTGTTAACTCCACGCGCCTCACGCCGACAGATGAAGACGCCACCGGCACACGCTCACACGACACAGCGAAGACGGAGCTGATACTGTCCATGCGGAAGTAGGGCATAGGGAGGTTGCTGGGTTGGAGCAGCCATTGCACAGATCTCTGCAGTCACAGTGTTTTTAAATGGTCACCTCAGAAACTCGAGTTGAGAAGATTCTCAGGAAAGGGAGAGGGCTGTATTCTTGAGTAGCCGAAAACAAAAGATCAGGTGACAGTCTGTGCTTCATGCTTCCTTTTCAGCATGCAATTGCAACAGGGAAGGAACCCAGCAGCCCTTCTGTGACCCGGCCACGGGCGTGTGTCACTGCCGGGAGGGAGTCAGCGGCCAGCAGTGTGACCGCTGCGCCCGGGGTCATGGCCAGGAATTCCCTACTTGCCTTCGACGTCACCTCTGCTTTGATCAGTGGGACCATGTCACTTCTTCCCTCTCTGAAGCAGTGCGAGGGTTGATTAGACTGGCTGCTAATGTGCAAGTCAGCTGTGAGGCCGAGTTCAGAGGCCTCAAAGAAAGCCTGTCTGACATAACCAGGATTTTGAAACATCCTGTTTTCTCATCCGGAGAGCTCCTAACAGTCCAGGATTACCATGACTCTGCAAGGTGAGGTTTATGCTCCAGTGGTAGACAAGTCCTGATTTACCTTGACTCCTGCTGACTTTCACATGCTCAGCCTTCAATTTAGAGAATTCATAACGTCCGCTAATAACCAGGCTGGTGATCTTTCTCACTTGGCTAGGATTGCATGTAATTTTTTTTCAGATGCCATTGATTATAACAAAAAGATAACCATTAAGAGGTTACTTAAACAGATGGAGTATAGCTTGGCGGTGGAATGCTTGCCTAACATGGGCAAGCACTGAAAATTTTTTAAAGAGGTTAAATGGGAAAGTCACACCCAACAGAACTCAAAGACATGAAATTGGAAGTATTCTCTAAAACAGATAGTATGTGTTTTAACAATGCACTCAAGGAAAATTTCCCAAATCTTCCCAAATTCTTTAGTTGTTTGGAAGCCCATACATTAGTGTGCAGTCTTATAATAAGTATAGTAATTTCTTCTAAAGCAAGGTCATTTTCATTACATAGTCCTGAGTCCTTTTTTTTTTTTTTCATTCATTAACCCTTTCAAGATTATGTTGTTGGCCCCGGGCTGGGGGTCAGCAAATACAGTCCATAGATCCAATCTAACATAGGACCTGGTTTTGTGATGAAGTTTCTTTAGAACACACCAACGAGGGCCGGGGATTTAGCTCAGTAGTTTCGCCACCTTCTGCGCATGTTCAACGACCTGAGTTCGATCCCCGGTACCAAAAAAAAAAGAACACACCAACGCTCATGTGTTCACAGCCCTGATGGCTCTCGTACCCTACAATGGCAGAGAGATGACAGACACCAGTACTCCTGAGAACAAAAGTCCACGAGCCTGCTCTGAGCAAAACCAGAATGGTCCAGGTATAGTTTCTGTCCACACAGAAGCCATATTCTACTAAAATAAAAGAAAAGGTATAGTACAGTTATAGGGCAACAAAGCCCCACTCTGCAGCAAATGTTCCTGAATTAAGGAATAGTTGAATCTGTAGATTTTTATGGCATACAGAACACAAGGGTAAACATAAGGCCATTCGTTACCAGTACACAAATATCCTAGAAGTGTATGGTGGTTGCTTCAAAGTTACTCAGGGAGGAAGACACATTTTGCTTGTGTAGTTCAGGGCTACAGCATTGTATGCATTTAACTGGGCCCCAAAGGACACAGCCAAGTTAAGCCGGTCCATGAGAACAGGCTCCTCTCTACCCTTCTAAAGATGTTTGTCCTGCAGAACTGGGGCCCTGTGTTACCAGATCTCCCCACTTTTCAAGAGATGTCAGACATTTAGATTTTCATGAAAATGTCTGCACTTGAAAATGTAGGCAGCTCATCCAATGGTACTTATAAAACATACAGCATGGCCCAAAGAAAATATGTCTGAGGCTGAGCATTAGGCCGTGACCATTCGTTTGTGGTTATAGATTGTAGCAAAATGTCAAGGTGGCAGCGAGAAAGCAGAATGAGCCAATCTGCAGTGGATGTTCTGGACAAAAATGGCTTCTGGAGCTAGAGCAGAGCCAGAGAGAAGACAGCAAGACAAGAGGACTCCTGGGGCCAGTCCTGGAGTGAGGAGAAAATGGTGGCTTCTGAGCCTCTTCAACCAGAAGCCAAGAAGCCTGCCACCTCCTGGTCCACCTGCTGAACCCCCATTGCTCCCTGGTGGCCACCTCAGAGAAAGGCATGATGAATATTTGCCAGGTAAAGTATAACTCAAAAGGGAGCAGGAGGACAAAGAACCCATGCGCATAAGCTGAGAACCCTGTTAGTTCAGATCCACTCACTAGCTATGTGAGTGACTTCACTTGGCCAAGCTTCAGTTTCTTCTTCAGAAAATGAAACAGTCTTTTTCATAGGATTCTTGGGAGAATTACTCTAGATAATCCACTTAGCATAGTGTCTGGCACATAGTGCTTATGTGTCAGATAATTGTCACTATTATTACTTTAGTGATATTATTATTACCCAGAAAAACTATAGTCCTGACACCCTGAAGGAAAATCTATGAAAGAGAGAGTTAAAGATAGCTAGGCGGCATTAGTTAATGCTCTGTACTTGTGCCAAGATGAATTAATCCCACGAATTTGTATTTCCTCAACTGTACCCTTCAAGATTTGTGCCCAGCTTCCTCTTCATAAAGGGTGTATTCATCATCCACATGGACTAATGGTTCATATGTTCTGAACATAGCAAACTGAGTGGAACAGAGTGGGTGATGGACAAGAACACAACCAGCGTACACAACCAGCAAGGAAACCTTCTTGTCACATGGGGAAATTAGAAGACCCTCTGTGGAAGTTGCACTCAAATTTTGTTGAATGTAGATTTATTCTGAATGAAGAACTGATTTTACCCCATACTGGGTTGGGTGCTCTGTTTTATCATGTGTTGAAAGCCAAATGTAACTGGCTCTTTTAGATCACTTTAAATGAACCATATCTGAATACATGTTTTGAAATGCAAAGAAAGAGAAAGCATAAACACTGAAAATGGAAAGATTTGAAAACCTTTACTCTGCTAGAACTTGTAGGGTGGTTATAGTTTTAAAAAGCAGTGAAATATCCCAGGAAGTTGAATAAAGAGGGAAGACGTGAGCTATAAACAGAATTATAAACTAAATTGTGAACGGGATCCCTTCCACCTGGAGACACCTAATAATAAGGGCAAATTTTTGTGGCATAGTCTTCTCACCAATGTATCAAATGTAATGAAAGCTTAACCATAGTTACCCTCATTTTCTCTGACAGAAAACAGATCATGCAGCTAAGTGAACAACTGAAAACAGTGTATGAATTTCAAGATCTGGAAGAAACCACTGTAAGACTGAGGAATGAAACAGATCTCTTGCTTGAATACCTTCAGCAGCAGATGAATTTGCAATCCAGTGTCCTGAATGCAAGTATTGTGGGTAAGAGAGAAAATTCGTTGTTTCTGCTTGGATTTTGGCGACCTCCACAGTGCATTCTGTTAGTGAGTCACACCTGCTTACTATCTTGGTGCCCGAGCATCTTAGAACACCCAAACACGCCCATTAGAGGTATTATTTGTACATGGCTATGTCAACTTTGTAAACATTGCAGAGTCTAGATAGCATTTGCTCAAAATAACAAATAAAGGTCAAATGTCTGATACTAAACAAATACTGAAACCCACAGTAATCTAATACCAAACTTTGTGAGTAGTCCTGAGTAATCAGTGACTTAGAAATTCTAAGGTGGCATAAGCAATAAGAAAGACACATTTATATGCCTTCCTGGGTAGAAGCCACTCCATTTCCAGCAAGCACAAATGCAGAGGAACATGGGGCAAAAGAGAATTACACACATTTCTCATAGGAGCTTTGTAGAAATTGGAGCTGTGCACCATATTAGAAGCTTTTGATTCATATTACTTAGTTCTTAAAACTGAATGTGAGCGTGACTGTAATCTCAGTACTCTGAGAGGCTGAAACAGGAGGATCACAAGTTCAAGCACAGCCTGGTCAATTTAGTGGGTTAGCAAGACCCTGTCTCAAAATTTAAAAAGGAGGTGTGGGTGGGGGGTCTTGGGGTGTAGCTCAGTGCAAAGGTCCTAGGTTCACTTCCTAATACAAAAAAAGAAAAGAAAAGAAAAGAAAAAAACCAGCAAATGTGAGCCCATGCCAATGCCAAGTCAACTTGGAGGAGAAATGGAAGTCTAAAGCAAAACTTTGATTGGATTATCTTATGTTTAATATGACAACTGCAATTATATTTGGAAATGGACAACTTGTTACCCCCAGGAGAGTCAACATTGAGTTTATTCATACTAAATGAGAGGTAAAGGGAAAATATACATGAACCATGTCGAGACATAAACATGGACTGCTTTGCCTTATTCTATATGTAGAAACACATCAGATGTGTTTCATCTGATCTTGACCCAAAGAGAAAGAGAAAAAAAAAATAGATAGCAATGAGGAATGCCTAAAGGCCCTAAAGGAATGCTTAAATTTAGTGAGACTAATTTTAGCCAAGATCTATCAGTGGTGTTCATAAACACCATGGAAAGAGTAAAGCATTTAGTCTGATTCCTAGTCTGAAGTAAGGTATCACCTGAAGGAATTCAGGGTCCACAGAGGTGGCCCCAAGGCAGGTACCATAAAGTAAAACTGTCCTGGCTGATCCTCTCCGACTGGGAATCCAGTGTCGGCTACCGGGCTTTCTTGATGCCTGCCACTGTGCTGGGCAGTAGAAACTGGGCGGGCGATGTCTATGACAAGTACCTGCCCATGAGTTGCTCCTGCCCTCTATGGGACACAGGGACAGAAGCAACCCCAAAGTGCATTAGCAGAGCAACAAGAAGTGAATTCTTCTGGGTTTGTGAGGAAAAGTATCAGGGAGTAGGTGGCAAATGACTGGAGCTGTACAGGATGGAGATAGACTTGCCGGATAAATAAAAGCAGAAAATCATTCCAAGCAGTAGGAACATGTTTTTATTTTCAAGATAAATGAAAAAGCCTCTATTAAGAGGATATGACAGGGCTGGGGATTTAGCTCAGTGGCACCACAGCTGCCTCGAAAGCTCAAGGTCCTGAGTCTGATCTCTGGTGCTTCCCACAAAGAGTATATGACAATGACAAGAACCAGAAAGGTTTAAAAGATGCAGTTGCCTTGTGCCTAGATCACAGCTGTGTAGGGAGCAATAATCAGGACCTGGGTCTCAGCATCCTACAATATAGAGGGACAGCTTATCTATCTTGTATGTTCTAGTTTCACATTACTTTCATGGATTTGTGTTTTATTATGAATCCGGAAAAGAGTGGTGCTGGAGAACACAGGCTGTAGGGCCAGACCACCTGGTTCAAATCCTGGCTTCATCTCCTGCTGTCACTGAGATCCTGGACCTCGATTTTCTTACCTGTAAAATGGGGGTGGTCTACTAATGTGCACTCTGTGCGTTTGGTAAAGACTGAGGAAAAGCACTGACGGAAAGTGCAGGCACAGGGAGATCACTTGCTTGGTGTGGCCAGGTCCTGCCCACCAAGGCTTTCAGGGATGCGACCTGACCTGGGGCTGCTGTCGCTATGGCAGAGTGGAGTAACTGTGACAGAAATGCTATGGCCAGCAAAGCCTACAACATCAGTCCTCTGGCCGTTGCAGAAATACTTTGTCAATTCCTGCTCTCTGCAGTTAAGTAAACTTGATTTCTCATGTTACAGCTTATATAGGTATTTGTAATTTTTTTATATTTATGGCACATTTTACAGAATATTTTCATATTATTTCATTTGACCCTTACAAATTATTAACACCAATTTACAGATAAGGAAGCAATATCTAAGAGATTAACTGATTTGCTCAAAGATGTGCCCAGGAAGTAAAAGGCAGAAGGAAGCAGGACAAAGCCTGCCCCGTGTACTTAAATGTCAGTGCTTTGTCCCTTTTATATCCACATCTATTACACTATATCTGTCCTTCCACCATTAAATACAAATTTAAGGAAGGCAGTGTTGAAATTTTGTAATGAAAGACCCAGATGGTAGCCAAACTGTGGAATGATTACCTTGGTAGCTGATATAGTAGTCGTTTGTTCTCATAAAATTTATCTTACCTCCATTTGTGTTGGTATAGATTGCTTAGAAAACATCAAGAAGTATTATCACATATCATCATCTGCTGAAAAGAAAACTAACAAAACTAGTTCCATCATAAATAACTCTAAAAACGCCAGAATCGGCTTGCTTACCATTTTGGATACACTGACCTCAAAAGAAAACTTGTTGGAGAAATTAAAACAGATTAAAATAACAGATATCCAAATTTTGAATGAAAAGGTAAACATTCATAATGGTATAGTAGAAAAGTTTGTGGTTTCTACTTGGTATCCAGACCTCTTCAGTTGTATTTCCCTGTCTTACATTTTATTTTTTATTTTTGAATTTATATTTATAGGATGTTACATATGTATATATAAATTATATTAATATATCCTCTGTTATATTATATATGAACAATATAAAAATGCACTCTGGAAGGCTGAGGCAGAAAGAATGGGAGTTTGAGCCCAGCTCTAGTGACTCAGTGAGGCCCTGTCTCAAAAAAAAAAATTTTTTTAAGGCCTAGGGATGTATTTCAGTGCAAAGGCCCTGGATTCAATCCCAGTACCAGAGAGAGAGAGAGAGAGAGAGAGAGAGAGAGAGATTTAATTATATTTTATTTTGATTTCTTGATTCAAGGGTTGATTACAATTAAAGATAAAAGATTGTTGATTGATTTTATTAGGTTATATTATTTACTATTTCCAAAATGATACATATTATGGACATTGGCTCCTCCTTCGTCATTATTGTAAAAGGTAAAATCTATTTTAAAAGAATAAAAATTAAGTTAACATGAAAACTTTCAATTTTCTCCTAGGAGGTGTGCGGAGGACCAGGGAACCTGTCGTGCAGCCTCTCGCCCTGTGGGGGCGCTCTCTGCACGGGCCCCGGCGGGCGCAGGCGGTGCGGCGGGCCTAGCTGTCAAGGCGCCCTGATGCTCGAGAGCGACGCGCGCGGAAAGGCCCAGGAGGCGGAGTCTGTGAGTCAGAATCTGGACAACCAGGCCCAAGGGCTGAAGAATCGGGTAAATAACTAATGCCTCTTGCCTGATTTGCAAAATTAACAAAGAAGCAAACTGAAGCTTTTAGCAGGGCCCTTTAACTTCCAGGTGAGAAGATGATGAGACACTAAGAGCTCTAGTGACTGAAACGCTGGTGTTCTGATACTTAAAATATAGATGTAAATGTACAGTGTGAAGTAGATGTGAATATGTGTATATGTGTGCATCGGTAGTGTGTGTGTGTGTGTGTGTGTGTGTGTGCGCTCGCGCGTTTGGAGGGAGAGAACTCAGAGTGTTATCATAAGTTATGGATGAATGGACTTTTTTTTTTTGGTACCGGAGATCGAACTCGGGACCTTGTGCTTGCCAGGCAGGTGGCAGAACCACTGAGCTAAATCCCCTGGCCCAAATGGACTTTTTTAATACAATAAACTACATCGAAATTTAACTCAGCCTTGAAGAGCAAAGCAAAAGAATAAATTTTCCGTAAATTCAAGAGTACATTTGAAATTCTACTAAATATGCACATTTTAATGTCAGATTTTAATATTAGGAAATATTATAATAAAATATTAGGCTTTAAATTCCTTTCTACATTGCTAGACATGATACAGTTGTTTCAACATTTAAATAACTTATCAAATCTCCAATGATTTGAAATTATTTCATTTACTTTTCTGGCCATATTTGTAAATACCATTTTTAATTACCTGGCTTTCTTTAGATTTTGTTGTTGTTTTGGGGTTTGGGGAGGGGGCTGTTTTCATGGTGCTGGGGATCAATCCAAGGCCTCACAGGCGCTGGCAAGTGCTCTACCGCTGAGTTACACCCCCAGCCCTTCCGGGTTTTCCGAGATGCACTACATTCTCTAGTTCTGAAAACAAGGACAAGCTTCTTTTTTAACAATATACATAGAGCCTTGGGTGAAAAAGAAAACGGCTTTAAAGGTTGAGTGTTTTTCTTACCAATATATATTGAATATGATATCCATCTGCATTCTTGTTTGCAAGCAACAGTTGGCTAACTTCCCAACAAGAGGAAATGTATGCAAGGACCTTGGTCTCAGAAGCAAGAGAAGGACAGAAGGCAGGTGTGGTGGTTCATGCCTGCAATCCTAGCACTCTAGAAGGCTGAGGCAGGATGATTGTAAATTTGAGCCCGGTCTGGGCAACTTAGCAAGAACCTGTGGCAAAATTTAAAGCAACAATGATAACAAAAGAAAAAAACTTGGGGGCCTAGGGATGTAGCTCAGGGCAAAGACCCTGGGTTCAATTTCACTGTAGTACTGCAAAGACAGGGAGATAGACAGACAGACAGACTCAAGCGGGGTGGAAACCATAGCCAAGATGAACACATACACACACATGCACACACACACACACACACACACACACACACACACACACACTCCGCGTCCTTGTCCACTTGCTAGAGTCCAAGCTATGGAGCAAGAATCGGATGACCAAGGCGGAGCACAGCCCTCCACATACTCAGTGTTGAAAACTTGTATTTACATGGTCACAACTCTGCATTACTACATGGTTTTTCGCTTAGATGTGATTCTTTGCTGCTTTTACAAATATGCACTGAAACCTCCTCCATGCCAGGCATGGATCTACAAGTTGATAATACAGCAGCAATCATAAAAATGCAAATCCTGTCTTATATCCCACTGGTTAAAATAGTCCCTACTTGTTTAATGTAATTTTAAACTATTCTCCTAAAAATAGACATCTCACACTATTGGAATAAGCCCTTCTTACTGCTCGATTTTATGATTAACAACAGGATTCAGCTAACAGTATTAAAAGGTAACTCCTGTGGTCTGTGCGGGCAGAATGGGACTTGAACAGCACATTAACGGAAAAGCCGGAAGAGGGTGAGACATGGCTTGCCATGCTGATAAAGTGCTGTGCACTTTCCTCTGGTGTGGAAGCGGGAGAGAGACGGGAAAGAGAGAATTCACAGGCATCAGGGTGACAGAGATGGGTGGGAGAGATGTCTCAGGAGTGAAGAGATTTAACAATCTCTTTCTGACTATGTATCAACTAATCCACTCCAAGATTTCATCTTTTTCACTTGGTGCTTTCCTGTCTGGGGATTTGTTTCTGAAATTCGCATTTTACTGCTATCCATTCTTACAGCTCTCCATTTTAAGGTTAAAAGTCTAGATCAACTCTCAAAAGCCTACTACATTTAATCATAGAGATACTTTTTTGTGTTTTATCACTTGCTAATGACTAGGACTTCAATCCTTTTACAAAATCGGCATGGCTTAAATTAAGCAGGCTCCTTTTCTGGAGAAATAAGGGGAGATTTTCCCTCCCTAATTATGTTTGAGGCTAATTAGCCCTACTTCTGTCACAGTTAATTTATTCAATAAAGCTCAGCCTGTTGGCGATCTTGTCCTATTGCTTTCTGCTCACCCCCCCCCTTAATTTGTTGGAATCCTAAGAAAAATCCATGACCTTTCTCAAATCACACAATTAAGAACTTGCACTTTTAGCTTCTGGCCTATCTGTCCCTCCGTTCTCCCCCAAGGACACAGAGCTCTGGGATTTATCTCAGCAGCCCACCCTCGGGTCAGGCACATTGATGAAAGGAGGAATGCTTTCCTGTTAGCTTTCCAAGAAAGTACATTACTAGAATTTGAAGAATGTTTAGAAGAGTAACTATTTTCATTTACATAAAAGAAGCTGTTTTAAGCTATTCACTGCCGTCAGTTTAGCAATCCTAAGTAATTTCTGTGTACACTGTTGGTTTCAGGGAGTGCCAAAGTCTAATTGAAAGAGAATTTATGTTTTAGATTTAGGAAAATTCATTAATGCTAGGGTAATGTTTTCAAACAATAATTTTGATTGCTAATAATATTATAAAAGGTAAATTTGTAATATTAAGAAAAAACATTATAATGAAACATAATAATTACCTGTTAAAAGAGCCCTTTAAAATGAATCTGTAGTTTAATTATCTAGACTTCTATTAAGTTTTTAGTGACATTTTTATTTGGTCCAGCTATGTAATAAAACATCCCAAGACAAGCTTAATTTTTGTATGCTTTCCTCATTGTTGATTTTTTCTTATTCCAGATAAAAAATATAAGTAAACTGGTAGACATCTCCAAAAACAATGCCATACTGCTAAGTGAGAAACTGGAAAATATGAAAAACCAAAGTGAAACTGAGGAAGAAAAAAATGAAGCTTTTCATCAGAAAAGCAAAAAACTTTTTGTTAGCTAATTGTTTCAAAGTATAAAAATGATTTTTGTTTCTACCTTTTAAAAAAAAAAATGGATGTGCGGGCCAGGGATTTAGCTCAGTGGCACCACGGCTGTCTCGAAAGTGCAAGGTCCTGAGTTCGATCCCCGGTACCAAAAAAAAAAAAATGGAGGTGCAAACATCATAACCAATTCCAAATTACACAAATTGGAAATGGCGTGCCTGAGTCAGAAAAATTATATACCCCTTGGTTTTAAATTTCTTAATGAAAATAATCTCAAAATGTTACCTGTGCCCAAAAAATGATGGCTCTCTGCATATGATTAATTTAGTAATAAATCCTAGGATTTAGTTAAAATCCCAAACAAAGGAACTTGTTTTATAAATTTTATTGTTTTTAAAATTAGAAATTCCACATGCCGACTCTTATCAGATTCCCTCAAGTCAGGATGCAGTAATTTTCTTTACTGGCAGAGATGATAAGATATCAAGATATTAGGATATCAAATACCATACTGAAGTGGCATCTAAAAAGTAGATTATTAACTATCATTGGCTATTTTCTGAGTTACTTGTTGACTCTCCATCACTGACCAAGAGAAGCTACTTGACTTGATATTCACTGTGGCATATTTTGGGAGAGAGACGTCTGTTTTAAACTACAGAGAACTATTAAAGATAAATCAAATACAGTATTAGGAAATTGATCTGAAGTCTTACTCTCATCAAATAAGGCAGTTTGGTTATAATGCTCTGTGGAATTCATCTTAGGGTTTTTTGTTTTTTGTTGTTTTTTTTTTTCTAGTTCTAGAGATTGAACTCAGGACCTTGTGCTTGAGGAAGGCGCAGCACCACTGAGCTACATGCCCGGCCCAATCTTAGGGGTTTTTTTCTTAACCACTTCCAAATTTGATAATTTTATACTTTCCACATGGATTAATAGTTGGGGTGTCCATTATCATTTCATTAACCTATTTAGCATTTATAAGAGATCCCTGTGGCCAACTTTCTCTCTCTCGGTTTTTCTAGAGATTGTATTAGTACCTTCTAGTTCTGAATTTCCAAAACAAGAAATTAGGCAGAAGTGACTTTTGATCAGAATCATCAGTGAAACTGTAAGAGAGTGGAATCCGTTTACTAGACATTTTGTTTGTTTGAAAGCTTGCTCAGATTGGTGCCAACTAGACGCTGATCCTGGAACTGGTTGTTTTAAGGAACACTTTAGCAATTTCTGCAGATACAAATCCATCCGGGGCACAAAAACAAAACCAATGCCAACATGTCTAACTAGCTACATGAAAATGGTGGTATATGGTCCTGGTAGAGTAGGAAAAGCATAAACTGCGTTCACCAAATTCACTAGCCATACAGCCTGTTCCCTTATTGCTGCCGGATAAATTTCTATTAAAAAGTTTACTGGAATTAACCTGAGGAATTAAAAACAATCAATGTCTACATTATCACAGCTGAAGTCAGAGAGAGCTGTTATTAAAAGCAGGCATAGAGCTAGGCATGGTGGTGCAGGCGTGTAATCCCAGCATTCTGGAAGGCTGAGGTAGGAGGATCACAAGTTTGATGTCAGCCTGAGCAACTTAGTGGCTTTGTGAGACCCTGTCTCAGAATAAGGAAGGGATGGGGACACGGCTTAGTGTGAAGGCTTTGGCTTTAACCCCTCAGTACTGGAGATAAAAGAAAAGGAAAAAAAATACTAGGCATAGAGAGAAAAAAATCCTTTTCTACATAGGAGACTTCCCTCTGATCAGGGCCCCTAGACCTGTGGTGACCAGGCCCTTGGCTATCAAGCCCAAATAAAATTATCATTCCAGGGGCCGGGAATTTAGCTCAGTGGTTCCACCTCCTGCCTTGCAAGCGGAAGGACCTGAGTTTGATCCCCAGAACCAAAAAAAAAAGAATTATCATTCCATCAGACGAGTACCTGTCCACTGAGCTCTTCTTGACATCTCACTGTTTTCCTTGAAATCTGAATGTCTCATTGACAAAGGCATGAGTCTTCTCCTGAACATTCTAGATCTGAAATTTGAATCTGTGATCTTGTAATAAATACTGATAATAATTTTCTGAATGAAGTGATTAAGTTCACTTTTAATAGAATTTTTTTAACTAGAAAAAGTTACTATTTCTTTTGAAAGCTAACTCTTTGATTCTGTTTAAAATACAGTTTTAGTTTATTCACCAAAAAAGTTATCGTTGTTTCAGAAACGTTATGGAAAGTGTAATATTCCTTTTATAGTAAGCAAAATAGCTGAAGGAAAAATGATTACCTAAAAAGAAGATCCTGTATACTCGTGTTGTATTACAAAAATGCTAAAAGCCTTCCCTGGGGCCTGGGGTGTAGCTCAGTGGTGGAGCACTTCCTAGCATCCATGAGGTCCTGAGTTGTATTCCCAACACCCTGGTGGGGAGGGGACCAAAAAAAGAGAAAGAAAAGAATGCATTTGTCTTCCTACCATCCCTAGGCAGTCTAAGTTCCTGGGCCCCGTGCTTGGGGACTTGTGCCATCTTCGCTCCCAGCCTGTCCAGACCCCAGCTCCTCCTATCAGACACACCACTCTCGCCAGGTTCCTATACCACCCTGACCTTTGGCTTCTGCAGGTCCCTTCTCTTGTGAAGCCTCTTCCTGCTCCCCACACCCCGCTGTCTCCAAGCTTAACCTGCTGTGCCCCAAAGCCCAGTTTTAACGCCTGTTTGACGTCCTTCCTTGTAGTTCTCCTTCCTCCAAACCCATTCGGCCTTGTGTTTCCCACTTTTGTCCTTTGATGGTATTTGTATATAACAGCTCTTTCCCCTCTTGAGCACAGGACCTTTAGGTTCAGGCCTATGTCTCCTCCACCTCTAACTTTCCCTAAGGGAGGGAGCTGCAGAGTGCCAGGGCTTGTTACACCACATCACAGTCCATCTTCCACTTCAGTTCTCAGGCAACCACTTCTGCTTTTCTAAAAGGAGGCCATAGATGTATCTGAAGGTTTGTTTATGATAAGCTACTTACATGATACTCTGTTCTGCATTGTCACATTCCCTGCTCAATATAGGCCTTTGAGTAGTAGCATCAGAAAGTTACCCAATTATTTAGATGAGCAAAATTTGTGAGGATATTATGGTCATGGAAGATCAGAACTTGGGTCACTTCAAACCCAGTCTCCCCGCTTCCCTCTAACCTTGTCCTTAAATTTTAATTCATCTAACATTTTTCATTGATTTTGAATGTGTACTTACATTAAAGAATTTTGAGAAGAAGATTTTGTGGACTGTACTCAATGTTCCAAGACTTTAGTTTTCCCTTTTTTCCAACAACCATTTGTTCAGCAAGTATTTAGCACCACACCAGCATCATTTTCCCCCAGATAGGGACCCTGGAGGATGAAGAGGCATGTATGGGACATATGTGATCTAGGCCCTCTCTTTAGGGACACATTATCAAATGCAAGTGCATGTGACTGTGTTCACTGGGGTTAAGTGTATGAAACACAGCGTTGCTAAGGGAGCATGATTAGCTAAAACCCCCCTTCTTCTCTAAGAGGAAAACGTGCCTCCCGAGGACATACAGAAGGTCGCGAATCATGTCCTTGACATCCACCTACCAATAACATCACAAAATTTAACCTGTGAACTTGAGGAAATACAGAAACTTATACAACTGTGTGAGAACAACAGGACAGAGAAGAACAGGCTAAATAAAGCAACAGATGGAGCCTGAAAGCTTTTGGAGGAGGCGAAAGTAGCTGAGTAAGTACAGTAGTAATGTGCTCATCTTGCTCTAACAGACCATCAGCTGCAAGACCATCTGACAAATGTTTGCCCAGAGAGCTACAGCGTGCAAACGAAGTCAGCCTCCAGTAGCTCTGTGCAAACTGAAGGCTCCGCTCTTTCTGGCGGTGCCCCCAGGAGCTGGGCAGTTGGGTAGCACTGTTCAGGGATTCCTGTGTCTATTTTTCTCAGACTCTAAACATGTTTTCAGCAGCCTGGGACCTCTTAATACCAAGGCGTAGGAGTACATGTCATATATGAATTTTGCAGCACTATTTTAACAGCTGATTGGAATATGGTGTGGTTTTCCTGCCTTTACCTAGTTTTGGTACTTTTGTTTTTTGTTTTGTTTTTTTTTTGGTACTGGGGATCGAACTCGGGACCTTGCGCTTTCGAGGCAGGCAGCAGAACCACTGAGCTAAATCCCCAGCCCAGTTTTGGTACTTTTAAAGTGTTATCATAAACAGTACCTTGAACGTCTAAATTTAAAAATAAGACTGTAGAAAAAATATGATGGCGGAGAATAGAAGAAATGGACACTGGCCCCAGCATAATACAGGAATGGGATGTACAGTGACAGCGCTAATGTCTCCTTTTGCTGTTGACTTAGCCAAGCAAAGAGGCAAAGGCATCTTGATGTTTCTGTGAGCATGCGGCACTGTGGGGCCGAGTCGCGGCATCAGCTGGGTGGTGGCAGCACCCACTGAGACCTGGGCACCTCACTGCCCACCACCCAGGGCGAAGTGTACCAGAAGCACCTGCAGTCCAACCCCTTCCGGGCTTAATATTAAAATCAGGAAGATAAAGTAACTGCAGTACAATTATACAGCTATTTAAAATGACACTGATGAAAGAATCTGCTAGTGTGAAGGCCACGTTTTTATTTAAAAGCAGGTAAGATATTATACATTAGGAGGAGCTCAGTCATGCAAAGGAAAAAGAAGTTAGGACAAAATGCTCAAATATGCCAATATCGTCTAAGGTAGTAGGATTACTGGTGCATTTTTTTCTTCTTTACATTTTTTTGGTACTCTAAATTTCCTATGATGAGTAGTACATTGGAAATCTAAACAAAAATGAATACCTATTTTTAAAATATATAGTGGCAGAAATGGAAGGAACACACACCAATGCCCTAGGAATGTGACCGAAGTGAGATGACAATGGTGCGGTGGGTCTGAGCTCCGGAGGGAGGGCGGATTCCTGACGGGGAGAAAGGGGAGATTGCTCGGGCGGGGCCGAGGCCTTGGGGTGAGGCGGCTGATTTGTCTTCAGCCCACTGCTCAGGGCCTCCCCGCAGTCGGAGGGCTAAAGGCTCCCTAGCTTGCTTCACTCTGCTCCAGGCGTTTTTGAGTCCAGAGATCTCCGTATCTGGTGCCTGTGGACTTGAGGTGAGCGTCCTTCTGTGAAACAGCCCGTGTCCCCAGAACCCCGTGACTGCACCCTCAACTGGGCTCCTGCGGCTGGGACGTCAGCAAAGCTCAAAAGCCCTGAACAAACAGGCCGCAGCGCACCTCCTGGGTCCTCGCTTGCCTCCCCCACCTCCCACTCCAGAGGCCAGGGACTGTCCACAGGTCTGAGAAATCAGGCTGGGATCAGCTGGCCGTAGTTTTAATGCGCAAAGAAGTCTGCATCGGGCAAAATCTGTATTTTTTGGATACACTCACATATGTGTACGCGTGTTATTGGCATTTAAATATGTCTGTTTCTTAAAAACGAAGACTTCAGCACTTTGTCCTGGTTAGGAGGAATTTAAATTGACTTTATAAATAATTCAGTAAAGTTTTTGGTTGAGTGGACTCTGGAAATGAAGCAAATGAATAATTGCATATTTATCTAATCGGCTATGTTAATGTCTTACCTTAGGAAAGCAGCAGATGTTCTCTCAAACCCTGACAAAGTGGTGGACAACTTGGAGCAAGCGAAAATCACTCAAGGCCAGGCAGACTCTGCCGTCACACAGCTGATGGCTGAGATAACACAAATGAGAAAGAGTGCACTGCAGGTAATTACCTCTCTCTATTGAAACTAACCTGAAATGGACTGGGGGGTGGGGGGGAACACTGTCGTTTTCTCTATGCCACATGGTCTGCTCGTTTGTCTGCCTGAACGGAGGCCTATGAGGATAAATTAAGATGTTGAAGGGGCCGGGATTTAGCTCAGTGGTTTCGCCGCCTGCTACGCAAGTGCAGGACCCGAGTTCGATCCCCAGTACCAAAATTAAAAAAAAAAAAAAAAAGACGTTGATGGGATTCCGTGCTTAATTAATGTCCCATATTAATGTTAATGCAGTACTGTTGTTACAGTAACGTTGACAGAATTACGCACTTAAATTAATGCCCTTCAGAGCCCTCTGAGCACATTTCATTCTAGGGGATGCGAAGGGTACTGCCGCCACCTTGTAAACTAAAGAACTAAGACTCAGAGAGGTTATGGGACTCTGGGGCCACACAGGTAATTAATAGATCTGAGCCATAGCTCATTCCTGCTGGTAGCTACAGAAAGCAACAGACTTTTAAAGCTCACAAGCGGAAGAAAGTAAGTTAATTGTTGCAATTTATTTTTTCCATACTAGGGATTGAACCGAGGGCATTTGCATTGAGCTACATTTCCAGCTCTCTTTTTATTCTTTATTTTGAGACAGAGTCTCACTGAATTACTGAGCTGCCCAGGCTGGGCTCAGTTTTGCAGTACTCCTACCTCAGCCTCCCAGACTGTTAGGATTATAGGCCATCACACCCAGGTTTGCCAGGGTTTTTGTAGCTGAAGTTGTGTGAGTTTATGTCAGAGTATTCCAAAACTGAAGCGGTATCGCACCTAAAAGAGCTCTCCCAGCTCAGCAGAGCCAAGCCACGGTTCAACCATTTGACCTGCAGGGAGTGGAGGCTCAGCAATTGGAGGACAGAATAGGACCCATGGCTCCTCTGTCACATCCCCTTCCTTACAGGGCTGAAATGACTGGCTGTTCATTCTTCAGCTGTGTTTTATAGATCTCCACCATGCATTCCAAGAACAAAAGCAGAATGCAGCAGAACAGGATGTGGTGCACCAGGAAGTGAAAGGGTTAGATAGGAAGAGGTTGTATTCTTTGGGTAGCAAAGAAGGGAAGCTGCTATGCCTTCTGGACATATGCTCTTGACTAGGGGGTCCCAAAAATATAGCCACAGACAGCTCTATTGTGATGACCGCTTTTGCAATACAGTGGAACAGAGTTGAATGGTGGTACGGAGATTGTATGGACCACAGAGGGCACAACACTATCTATCCCTTTTCAGAAAATGTGCAGACTTACATTAGTCAACTCATTAGTCCAGCTGCAGGACACAATATCCAACACGCACAGCTTTAAGGAAGAGAGGTTATATGGTTCACAGTTCAGGAGATTCAGTCCATGGTCAGTTGGCTCCAAGGTAGGAATGTCATGGCAGAAGGATGTAGTGGAGCAGAGCTGCTCAGTTCCCGTCAACTGGGGAGCAGTGCTGGAAAGGAAAGGTGCAGGGACCACATACTGTACGGTACCCAAGGACAGGCCCACGTGGCATGTCCAGTGTGCTGTGACATCTACTAGGCATTTCCTAATCCAAGATTAATGGTCATAAGACTCCTGCTCTAGAAAAACTCCCACATATGTATAAGGGCACAGGAAGGGATTTTTATATCTAAAAATATGGTGGACCAATACCCTGAGGAGTCCTAATAGAAAATGTTAGTATATTTACATTTTTAAAATGCATACCTGACTTAGTAGGAAACAGGATATCCTCAGAGCCAAAGACTAATCAGGCACTAACCTGACAGCAGATGGCACCTGCCAATCCCTAGTATGTTACAGCTTTTGGGTTTGAGGATCACTGTGTCTAACAGACAGAAAGCAGAGTCCATATAAGGAGGGAACTAAAAACCAGAACCCATAGTGAAACAGTAAACTATCTCTCTCTCTCTCTATCTCTCTCTCTCTCTCTCTCACACACACACACACACACACACACACACACACCTGCATAGGGGAGGAGTCTAAGAATTCCTAACTACAAATAGTTTCCCATATGAGATGGAGGCTAGAATTTATACTGCCTAGGTGGCCCCCAAAACTCAAGCCAAAAGCATCATTTAAAGTGGTCCTGGGCTGCTAGAATCCCCAGACAGTGGCAACCAAAAGTCCCCTGTGAAGAAATGACCTTAAAACCAAGCCAGCCCCCCAAAATTCCCTCCAAACACATAAAGAAACAAATTGCCTTAAACAAGAGTCATCAATACAACAAGCAACAGAATCAGAATCCAAGGGATTGTGGGTATGACCAGTATGGGTTATAAAATGCAAAATAAGAATGTTTACTATGTGTAAGAAAATCAAAAAAGGGTAAACATAAAGTATAACCAACGGATGAGAGTTAAGATAACAGTCAAACTTCAAAAATGATTAAATAGGGCCAGGGAGATAGTTCAGTGGCGCCATGCTTGCCTGGCAAGCTCAAGGTCCTGAGTTTGATCCCTGGTACCAAAACAAAAGATTAAATAGGACCTCTAGATATGACAAATGTAGTCTTGAAACAAGGAAAGTATAAAATGTGAGGAAAAAGTAGAAGCACCAGCTGGAGACTGAAAAAATAAATCATATATTCAACAACAGAATGCTTTAAATTGGTAACAATGGATGAGCTAGAGGTATGTAAATTAAAGTGGACAACTTGTGTGGACATAATTTTGAATTTAAAAAATCAAGTTACAGAATGTATATGTATATAGTTACATACTGTTAAAAAATTAAATATATATTGTTAGGAACACTACACAGTATCCAGTGTAAAGCCTACTGGAAAACACGGACTAGCAACATTAGACAAAGACTGGATTTTGCATGGTGGCTGCCTTCAGGGGGTGGGACTGGTGTGTGGATGGCTTTCATCAGCACTTTATTCCCAAGGTGGCTGGTGGTACAATGATATTTGTCATGTTTTCTTTTCCATAAATTCATTTTGTTGATATATGTCCATGAGTAATTGCTTTCATTTGGGGGAACTGGTATATATATATATATATATATATTATCTTGATCATTTTCAATCCCATTTCCCTTCCTAATGCCAAAAGGTCTGCATCCCTGTCTCCCACCATCTCTCCTTTATTTTACTTTTTTTTTTTGGAAATGATATCACTGTGCAGCTCAGGCTGGCCTTGAAATCATGGCAACCCTCCTGCCTCAGGCTTCTGAGTGCTGAGATTTCAGGCGTGTATCACCAGGTCTGGCCATTTTATTCTCGAGTTTATTTATATTTGGGTTTCTCAGATAAGCACAACCATGCAATATTTAACCTTCTTGTCTGATTTAATTCACTTAACATTATGGTCTTAAAATCCATCCATTTCCCTAAAAATGACCAGAATTCATCCTTCTACGTGGCTGCATAGTATTCTATTGTACATCTACATAGCACATTTTCTTTGGGTCATGTTTTCCTTTAAAGCCTTTCGTGTGTCAGAAATATTTTGTTATAACTTTTTATATGTTATAACTTTTTAAAAATGTAAAAGAAAAAGTTAAAACATTTTCTTTTCCTTTAAACCCAGTTTTGTTTTGTTTTTTTTGAGGGACATTTCCTTTCTTGTCTTTAAATCAAAATCAGGCTGAAAACGGAGCCAAGGAAGTGAAGAATAAGCTGGACTTAGCAAAGCACCACCCAGAGCCAGAGGGTGGACTCGCCATGCTGCAGACCAAGTGGCAAAGGAACCAAGCCCAGGCGGGCAGGGCCACAGAGCAGGCGGGGTCAGCGAGTCACCAAGCTGAGGGTGCCAGGTAGGTCAGTGTCCCTACTGCCACCGGGAGCAGGCAGCGCTGCTCCGCAGCACGGCCTTTGCGGCCAGGTTTTTGTGCCACTTTTCTGCATTTCTTCAGTGCCAACCCAAGCTTGCTGTGGACATTCTGGGCTCCTGGTGCACAGGAGGCTCTTGGGCCCTAAGGCTCTCGTGCAGGGCCCAGCTGTCCCTGTGGACCTGTAAGGAGCGCATAAATTAAAGTCACCTCCAAAGAGAACAGATCAAGTTACAGACATCAGAGCGAGTTAATTCAACATTTGTGGTAAATGGCCCACTCATTCTGGTTGCTGAAAGAACCTATCAGCGCTTCTTTGCAGCAGGGAATCTTTTGTTGGTTGCATTCATATAGTGGCTTAAACAAAAGAAAAATGTTAGTGTTTTGTAACTGGTCTTCCACTTGCTTTTAGTTCCTAATATACTGGGTAAAATGTCCACTAGCTCAAGAGAGTTGAGAACATTTCCTACAGAAAGGATGTTGAGAAACGGGCTTCCTGCCCGCCCAAACCCTTCTGCCCCGTGCCGGCTCTGACCTGTACTTGCCTGCCTGCCCTTCTAGGTTGTCAGCCACTCGCTCGGCCCCAGAGTTCCACTCTCCTTCCAGAGGGAGCTTTATGCTTGCACTTCTACCCGGCTTCCTGCTTCCCTTCCTCCCTCACTGCCTCATTTCTCTTACACATGTTATCCAAGTGCTCTAGCCCTGAACTTCATCCACGGTCCTTTCACAAATTTTGCATTCTCAGACAAGGTCACGCTACATTGCGCTGGCTGGCCTCACACTTACATCCTTTTCCCTCAGCCCCCCGAGCAGCCCGGTGTACAGGCATGTGCCACTACCCGTCTCTCTCCTGCCTTTCTAACCAACCAGAAGGGTATCCATGCTGCTTCTAAATCTTCACTCTGCCCTCCATCTGGAATACACAGCGGCGCAATGAATCAGATATTTGTCAAGGACAAAATTAGGTCATTTTTGTCTTCTGTTCTCCAACCTTAGCATAATATAGAACAATTAGTGGCACACTGATGGTTGTCTTAACGTGGAGTAATGACTGCTATTTTGGAAAAAAAATTCATTTTTAATTAACTAGGACTGACATTATTTTCAATCTGAAAAAACCAAACATGCAAATAAAAACCCTTATGGAAATACCAAAGTGATCAAGAGCATTGACTGGATTATGATTTCCTCTGCATTGCTTTTATGAGACTCTATGAGACTTACGAGGGGCATGTAGGAGACATGTAGGTGCTTTATAAATATTTTCTGATGGTGAGAATGTGGCTGTGTTGCAGAAGTTGGTTGAGCTGAGAAAACAGTATGCTTTTCTTCAACCTGAGACCAGCACTGCAGGACTAATAAAGGAAACATTAGAAAGAGTGAAACAGCTAAAAGATGCTGCAGAAAAACTGGCTGGAGAGACAGAGGACAAGATGAAAAGAATAGCAGGTATGTGTTCTTTCACCCACCCACCCATCTGACGATAACACCATAATACTCCGCCTTCATGGTAGAATTCACACTAAATCTGTCATTCATTCCTGGTAACCACATACAAACCTGCAGAGGACAGTGAAGTAGGAATTGGTCTTGTGCCTTAGGGGCTGTCAGGAATCAACCTCCTGTGCATGGATTTCCTTACGATGGTATTGGGGAGCATCTGCCTTGTGTTCATGAGAAAACCTGTGGTTTCCTTTGGTCACCTTGAAATGCCTTTTTGCCAACTCGCTGTTTTATAGTCTTATTTGTGGTCATACTTTATTGTCTCCCAAATTTTAAAACTAATTATATTCTTTGGGGATATGAGTAACTCTCAAAATGTTAAAATAAACAAGATTCCTTGCTCATAAGTGCTTCTGCATTACAAAATGAGACTTTGGCCTCAGGACCATGCACACCCTCCCTCTGACATGAAAACAATGAAAGACTAGCCTGCATATGGCCCAAGTCAGGACAAACACACGCCAGACTGCTAGCATTTGTCATCTCTGGGAGACAGGGGACTGATGAGGAAACCACTGATTTTTACATATATATTTATCTTAAAATCAGTGTGCTTATGGGTATTTTTTCAATACTTTCTAAAATTTTTTTAAAGAAAATACTAGGAAAGATTTAGAAATGCAGATAGAATTTTTCCAACCTGACATTGAATAGCCAATACTGCAAAGATCAGTTTCTATTATTCTCAGACTGGGGTCCTCCCTCATAGGACCAAAAACCTAGGAAGAATCTTTCTGCCCTAAGTTACGTCAGGGTCCAAATTATTTTTCCTTATCCACATTGACTGAAATTTATAGTTCATGAAATTAGATCGGAAGAGAAGTTTCAGTGAGAGGAAGATTGCATCCTATTTCTTTTTCTCTCTTCAGTTTAAGGCTGTTTTCACAACTCAACAAGATAGAAAAATAAGCCACTGATGTGCCTGTCTTCCTTCTGCCACTTGAGAAGGAGCAGAACATCTATTAGGAAGAGATGCCCCCAGGTTCCCAGTAAGACCCCAGTCACAACAAGAGTCCCTCAGAACCACGTCCATCAGAATCCCAGCAAGAGACAAAAAGCCTACTCAGTCATGGTTCTGGACAATGTACACGTGGAGCTGTCTCTATCTATTCACTGCATAAAAAGCCACCCTAAAATCAGACGGCTTAAAATAACAACCATGTCTTTGTTTGCAGTGGGTTGCCTGGGTGGCTGTTCTGCAGGTCCCCCCAGGTTACACAAATAGAAGCTCAGCTAATGGGTCACCGGCCAGGTCTTCGAGGGATGCCCGGAGATGTGGGGCTGTGTCCATGGGGCCAGCTACCCCAGGCTACTTCCAGGCATGGATGTTTAAGGTTCCCCTGGAAGTGAGAATGATGACACAGGTGCTTGAAGCCTGCAGTAGCATTTCTTCCAGTCTGTACTACTGGTCAAAATAGCTTGTCCAGCCAGCCCAGGTCCAGGGTGCGGGAGTGGGGGGAGAGCAAACAGATGTGCTTCCTGATGGAACCTCGAAGAATGCACAGGAATGGAGGGAACAGACTGTGTAGCAGGGCTGGGGGACCAGCGGAGTGAGAACCATTATTGGCCCTCAGCCGGAAGGAATAGGGGAAGCAGGATGGTCACCAGGGTCCTTAGGGAAGAGGCCCCACAGGAGCTGGAGCCCCAAGACCAAAGACCTGAGGGAAGCCTGTGCTGAACAGGGGTGGAGAGGGCTCTGACAGCACGGCCAAGGGTGAGGATGGCCAGATGGAAGGGAACCTGCGTGTTACCCAGGGGGGCTGGCCTTCCAGGACTCAGAACAGGGTGAAGGAGGAGCTGGTGGGAATGAGAAGTAGCCAGCTTGACCACATTAACTTACCTCGTGGAAACTCTGGGGTCTTTTCTCTTCTTTTGATTCAAATATCCTACCAGTGTTGAATCCCCTTTTCAACCCTCAGTGGCCTCCACTTGAGTCCCTGGTGAAAGAATGCTCACCACCTCCCAGAGCAGCTCTTTAGTCTCTGCATCGCTGTGACTGCTAGAAAGCTCCTCTTTACAATCAGACAAAATCTTCCCTCATCGAGCTTTCGTCTGCTGGCTGTGTTTTGTTTCCTCAGATGCTGGAGAACATATTCACTCTGCTTTTCTAAGCTGGTCTTTCAAATACTTGAAATCAGCCATGTCATGTGTCCTAAATCTTCCTTTCTCTGTATAAAACGTCACCAGTTAACTCAATATGTTCAGAGGACAGCTTCAACTTTCTGCAGCACTCCAGCCTTTCCTCTGGATGTGTATGTTTGACAGTTACTTCACACCCACTCAGAATTCACCTGTGATCCAAGTGAAGTGGGACATTTACTTCCCTTCTTCTAGAAGGTCCATTCCTACCTATTGGCAGACTCTCTAAAAGCCTGCCTCACACTGTTAACTGTAGCTTGCTTCTTTTTTTTCTTTTTTTTGTTTAGCTGTAGTTTTCTACTCCTCTTCTGTCCACATTTCTATGGACTCTTTCTTAAAGGAATTACAAGATATTTGTTGAATGAAGAATGAGTAAATGGATAGGTGGGTGGATGGATGGATACGTCAGTAGCTCAATGAATGGATGGATACATGAGTGAAACCAAAGACAGCCATTACTTTGCTTTTACTGTTCAGGAATGTCCATGTCAAAAGGAAGAAGAATTACAGAAATTAAAATGTCAGTATTCTTTTCTGAAAAATTGGGAAACTGTAAAGTGAGTAGCGCATGTTTAAAATGAAGTTAAAATATTTAAGAACAAACCTTTTGAGATGTGATACTTCAAATCCAATCAAGGCTGTTGTGTGTCTTTTCATATCTAATAAATTCTAACCAGCTACAGCCTTACATTTTTAAATGCCATTAGACTTAAAATTTTTTAGACAAAAATAGCAACTTCCTCTGATTTATGTGAAAATTTGAAGAAGTCTGGTGAAAAGAGATGTTTTATCCATTATATCAAAGCACAAAACTAAATATATCTCTAAGAGACACACAGACCCCTGTGTTCTGTATAATGTGGACATCTAAGAGGAATTTGTCACCTGAATGTTGATCATTTCTTGCATATCCTTCTTTCAGATTTAGAAAAGAAGATCCAGGATTTGAACCTAAATAGACAAGAAAAAGCTAATCAACTGCAACAATTACAAGACCAAGCCATTGCCATTAAAAATGAAATTGTTGAGCAAGAAAATAAATATGCCACCTGCCACAGTTAGGCAGAGCTGCAGCACAAAGGCTATTCCTGTGTGTCTGGCACAAACTGCACAGCTGTGCTGAACTTGTGAAATCCAAAGGTGGCCTCTCCTCCTGTTTCCCTGTTCTCACTGCAGACCTGCCCAGTGCGGCCAGAGGAAGGGACCAGGGAGAGAAAGGCCACCACCAGCACCTCCTCATAACGGAAAGAGGGAAGGAAAGAGATGTCTCAGTTTCAAAAACCTTTCCTCTTGCCTCTTTTTTCTTTCAAAACTTAAAAATTATTGGTGTATGTGGCAAGGGAAAATGTAAATACGTTCTCTACTTACTAATAGTCATTTCAGTCCAATGGCCCTAAACATTTAAATCAAGATCTCTACTACTTGGAAGGAGTAAATATGGATGTCATGAACTGGGTTTTCCTATGCTTTCCATTTATTTGAATTGGCTTTTATTTGTAAAACTATTATTCCATTCTGAATAAAATGGTACTTGTGTTTATGCCCACCTTCCTACACCCTCATTCTCTCAATCAGAGGATTTTATTTTCCCCAAGTGACATTGGAACAATATTCAAAGAGATAAATACTGAACTCCTTTTCATAACTTGTGAATATTTTCTCTGTGAAATCTGCTCCTTATTTTTAAGACTAGCAATCAGGTTCTTGCTGTTTTAATATAAAAGATTAGATTGTCTCACATTATTTCTGTTCATATATGCTGTTCTTCAGAGGGATTATTTTAAGAAAGTTTGGCTCCACATTTTTTTAATAAGAAATAACATATCAGCTAGAGCCATTTCTATTAAGGAATGACTCATTAAAAAGTGGGATTTAAAAATTCAACAAAGGGCTTCGAGATTACACATAAATACAAGATTTGTTAAAATGCATGTTATTAAAGAAAGTCATATAATCTATTTTCCTGCAGATCCTAAAGAATAGAAGGAAACGTTTCTGTGGGAATGACCAGCCCAGACAATTCTTTTGATGTATACAATTGCAAGGCTCCAGCCCTGAGATTTCTACAAACCTCCACAATGTGGTACATAAAACAACCCACAGATAAAACGGCCCAGGGGGTGAACAAATACATATCACAAAGTAGTTCTTTGGTCCAATGTTAGCCATGAAACACACTCCACCTTTCCTATTTGAATACTGACTTTTGACTTTGTACACATGATAGACAATGATATAAGCAGGGTTTTTTTGTTACAATAGCAACATTTGGTTGTTCTTCCTTTCCAGTGATCAGACATCCTATATGCAGCAGGTCAGGGGATGTGGGACTGGTGAAAGTGGGAAGAGTTTCTAGGAAGACTAACAGAGTTTGGCAGTCAGGAAAATGTCCAGGCAGCAGGAAATCACACTCACCCTAGGAACCAAGTGAAAGAGCAAGATAAACCCAGTCAGCAGACCTGCCGGCACTGCAGTGTGGTGAGGTTAGGAAGTAGTGATATGCTTTGAGATGATAGATACCTGGTTGTGCTTTCAAGTCTGGAGTTTTAAAAAGTGTAAGTTGTCTTATAAATTCTACATATGGAAAAACCTCATTCCCCATGTCATTCTAACTCTTTTACTCGCTGCACTCATGGTTCAAGATATGACCCAACCAAGATTCAGCAAAACAGTACCTCTTATACCTCTTATATATCGTAAAGAAATTTGGCAGTGTGTATCAAGGTCTCTCCTAAAACCCAGTATTTCCATTGCTGAACTTGTATAATAAGAAAATAATCAAATATGAGGGGAAAGCTATGTGAATAATTTATTGCAGCACTCTTTATATTAAAAATGTAAATAAATTTTTAAAAACCAATTAAATACATAGCACGAGACTACCCATCTGAGTTCTTGGTTGCAAATGATGTAAAGAAATAATAATAGAAAAAGGAGGCCCTCAGTAACGCTCAGGTTAGGGTAGCATGGGGCTCCACTGAGCACGTCCCCATCCCAGTCCCTTCCAGCTGTACTCCGATCCAGTGACCTTCCACACACATGAGAATTTGGAGGGCATTCTAGATCTAAACCATGACACTGAGGAGCAGAGACTGAGGCTGCGGACTTTGTTTCTGTTCCTTCTCAAGAGGTACTGATGGGCCAGGGATTTAGCTCAGTGGCACTGCACCTGCCTCAAAAGCACAAGGTCCTGAGTTCGATCCCCGATACCAAAAAAAAAAAAAGAGCTACGCTACAGATGGTCGGGGATTTAGCTCAGTGGTTCCGCACCTGCCTCGCAAGGTCCCAAGTTTGATCCCTCCCCCCCGCAAAAGAATGTAGAATATCAAGAGCTACTGCTGGGATGTATGATCTGCTTTCTTTACCTCTCATTCCATGTCCCTCTTTCCTGAGGATCCTGAGCCATTGTGTGCTTTGGGGAGAGTGCTCTGATGTCATACTTTCCCTCAGATGTGGCAGTGATGCCACCTGCTGAGTACCTACAGCTCTGTCTCCATCCAAGAGCCAGGACCAATTACTCGAGCCCACATTATAATCTCGCCTTTCTTCTTGCCTGTTTATCCTGTGAAATGTGAAGCCAAAGATAGCTGAATCTGGGTATGCATTCCAACTCAATGGAAGAAGTGTTAGGCCTTCTAGTAAAAACATATTTCCTTACAGACCAGAGTCACAGGCACAGGAAGAACATTGTTGCTGCTGAGTCATTTGGATATAATTGCGAGCAGTGTCACATGTATTTCCACTCTTGTTTTCTACTGGATGCTCCATCAGCTTTCACTGTAGAAGGCACAGCTCTACCTCCCAACTCAGAAAGAGGATCTGATGTGTGTAGATAAAAAGAAACAAAACAAAAAAAATTAAATAGCGTAAAGCATGTTAAAGCATCTCGCTGGAGTGAGGCCCATGTATTAAAGGCTGGTCCCAGCAAATGGAGCTATCAGGAGGTGGTGGTGCCTTTAAGAGGCGGGGCCTACTGGGAGGAAGTGAAGTCATTGGGGTCAAGCCCTGGAAGGGGATTTTGGAATCCCGCACCTTTCTGGTTTTCTTTTTGCTTCCTGGGCCATTTGCTCGGTGATGAACAAAGCAAAGGGTCAAGCTGCTATGAGGTGAAACTGAGCCAAAATAAACATTTCCTCATTTTAAGTTGATTATCTTGGGTATTTTTTTCCAGAGTAACAAAGCTAACACACACCTTTGACAAATGGTCAATCTACAATATGATGAAAATATACAATTTAATTCTTCTATGAAATATTTAAATGCATCAGCATGCATACATTTCCTGTACCTGTGGTGTCACGGTTCTAGTATTTGCTTAAATTTGACTCGGCTGAAAACCGCATCTACCCAGCACGGGGAGGTCTGGTGAGGGGTGAGGAACCAGCACAGAGAAGCCTGCGCTGCATTCGGAGCACCTCAGAGTAGGGGATGGAAAAGGGGCAGGAGTAACAGAGCCAAGGTGTGAAATGAGTAGTGGCCAGGCCTGTGGCCACCTAGACGCAAGCTACAGTAACGGGGCAGCAGGTAGGATCTACGACAGGGTGTGGATGACAGAGGGAGGGAGACTGGCGGAGTGAGAAGACAGCCTGAGGACGGGAGCCATAGATAAAGGCTGGGTCAGGAAGCGCAGGAAGGCCCGTGAGCGGAGGGCAGGGGACGCACCTGGAACCCAGCCAGTCTCATCAGAAAATCAGAAACACCGGGAAGCATGCTGACCATGGGGCAGCTAGTGTGCTCCATGAAGGGGGCATGGGCTGTGAACTCTGTCCGGTACCCTCCTCCCCTTCTTCTTTTGGTAACAGAAGCCTCCTTGTTTTCACTGGGCACGCGGCTGCCTTGCTAGGAAGGCCGTATTTCCAACTCCCTTGCAGTTCAATGTGACTATGTGGCTAAATTCTGACCAACAGGACTTAAGCACGAGTGTTATGTGCAATGTCCAAACACAGCCTCTCAGGGAGCAGTTTGCCCTCTGTGGAAGGCAGGATGCGAGCCCCCAAAGATGTCCACATGCTGCTCTCCAGAACCTGTGGACGTGTTACGTGGCGAGGAGGATTGAGTCCACAGGTGGAGGTGCTAGCAGCTCCCGGAGATGAGATTAGCCCGGCCCGTGGTGCTGGGCCCAGTTAAAATGGGAGCAGGAGGCCGACGGGCATGCGAGTCAGAAAAGGCCGTGTGGGGAGGACGTGGGCTGCTGCTGCTGCTTCAGAGAAGGACAGCCCCTAAAAGCTGGAGAATCCCATGAAGGGTTCCCCTCATGCCAAGCTTTCAGAATGGATGGAGCCAGGCCCTGATTCCAGCCTGGTGATACCCATGTTGAATTTCTGCAGAACTGTAAGTTATTTTTGTGATGTTTCAAACCCCTCATTTGTTACAGTAGCCATAGGAAATCAATACCCTCTATTTGTTTTTATTTCCTCCTCATTTGACTTGGAATATGGTTCACTATAACCACACATGAGGGCCACACCAGTGACACTAGAAGGAACTTAGGGCCTTGGTTGCCAATGCCAATGAGGGGCCCGGCGGGAGAGACAGGACGCAGCTGGGACACTTCAATGGGGGGCTGCTTACAAAGGTGTGGGCAGAGTGGAGGAAAGCCACACGGGACCCTGCCAGCCTCGGCCTGCGGGGAAGGTGAAACGGTGACAAGAGAAAATGTTAGACTGTGTGGGAGGGTTGCTTTACGGGAGCTGTGATCTTTGGTCCCGAGACACGGCCAGCTGTGACACCTGGCAGGGCCCCTTGGGACACAATCACTCCACCGTCACTCGGCTCCCTGTGCAACCTGTTGCTGGTTGATGTCCCCACCCTGCCTTCTGCGGCGTAGAGCAGGGGACAGGTAGAGGCAGAGAGGCACAAGGACCCCGTGGGTTACACTGTGTGTGCCTGACTCCTTGGACGACCTGCAGGCTTAAAGCTGTACTTGGAAGAAAAGCAGACCTCTCATTTAAATCCGTGATTTTGGTTTCTTGCAGCAGCTGCACCAACATTGTCCCCTTGGGATTAGCTGTAAACTACTAGAAAATGCACCTCATCTACTTCCAGGGTTACTAAGCGAATTCACGTGAAAGGCTTTGAGAGGGCAAGGTACTCCACACACCCTTCACGTGGTCATTATGTCACCATGTGAGTTACACGTGTGTTCCCCTCTGGGCTGCCGAGCCTGTGGCTCTCCCTGCCTGGCAGTGCCAGTCACTGTCTGTCCCCCAAATCCAGCCTTCCCTTACAGAAGGCCCTGAAGGCTTCTCTGGCCTAACCCAAAACCCTTTCTCTGCAGTTCTGAGTGGTCAGTTGGCTGATGAGCCTTATCTGTCTAACCAGAGAGTAAGTCCCTGAAGACAGGGAGCGTGAGCTCAGGTACAGGACCTAGCCCGTGTGGAGCAATGGCTCCCAATGGACGCAAACCAGGCAGTCCTCAGACCATCACTGAGCTCAACTTGTCTCAACTATGGTCTGAAACCAGTTCATCATAGGGTTCAGCCCCTCTGAAAATATGAGAACAATCCTAATCTTTACCTCAACTTAGAGGGAGAGAGGATGTCAAATGGGAATGGAATCTATACTTAAGATTTAGTCTCTTTCTTATCTTCCTCTCAATAACTACCATGCCCTGCAGCTTCCATAAAAATCCTTTCCTGGGCTGGGGATTTAGCTCAGCAGTTCCGCCACCTGCCTCGAAAGCGCAAAGTCCCGAGTTCGATCCCCGGTACCAAAAAAAAAAATTAAAGGACACACTTGAAAACACTTATAAGCACAAAGGCTTAGATTTACATGTAAGGCTTCGTGTACAATTTATACCCATATAACATGCAGGCTTCTCAGTAGTCCTTTACCATCAAGCAAACCAGTTCAATCAACCCCTCCTGTGTGGGAACGCCACGCACCCCTTCTGCCTTGCTCCCTTGCCTCCCCATAAAGCAAGCTTGAATAGAAAGAGCACCCCTTTTTTATTCACTTTACACTGCTGAGCAGAATTCTTTCCCTGCCTTAATGCAGGTGCTGTCCGGCAGTGGAGAATCTAAATATATGAAGGCCAAAGCTTTGGCCGAGGAATTTTCCATCGTAAGTTCTGAGGCTTTCAGCCTTCGACAGAAGACACCATCTCCTGTCTGCTCCTTGATGTTTCCTGCCCACTTCCCTCTGCTGCTTCTCTCTCTGTAAGGCAGCAAGAAGAAAAAGCGATTTTCTTTCTTCCCGCAACATAAAGCAGTGTAGGCAGGACTTCCCTTCTCGACACCCGCTCATCAATGGCACCTCATGCTTTTCACATCCATTCTGTGCTTTTTAACAGTGAAGTTCTAGGACTGGGCAATATTTGACACAGTTCCCCACACATTGTGGTTTGCCTAACGGTAAACACCAAAGGCTAAGGAAGGGTGGCTGCATTTATCTCACATTCACTAGGTGGCAACTAGTGAAGTATGGGATCCATGCTGTACTACAGAGTCCGCCCCAGACATCCCAACCTGGCCCTAGGATGACATCTCACCTTAGTATGTTACTTCTTACAGCAAAGGCTTTGATGAACTTAGCCTACAAACTATTCCATGTGTGCGTGTGTGTGTTGGGAACTTTGCAATCTATCAGCTAAACATTTACCAGCTGAAGATTTACCCCTGATGGAAAAATATCTAAAATGACAGAAAAGTTCTAAATGCAGCTGGGAAGACTTTTAGATATGCAAGGAGTGGCATTAGCTTCCACATGTGATTTTTCTTTGATTTTTTTTTTCCCCTCTAACTCAGGAAAGAGGTCTAAGAAACACCAAAATGCAAGAGATCTGAAGGACTTCCTAGACCCATCCCCTCATTCTGTGATGATTACCGAGGTTAAGTTAGCCAGGGCCTCAGAGCTCCTTGGAGGAAATGCCAAGGCGGATATGAAGGGAAGTCTGATTCACTTGACATGACATTCCTTCCACTGCAGGCTTTCTTTCAAAACAGCTTTTAACTGGTCTTAGGCTCAACTAAATGGGCCATCAAATAAAGCTACTGTTTCCTTAAAACAGAAATGACCTGTGCTATAAGTTGAATGTTTTGAACAAATATTTTGAATTAAGTTTTTAGGAAGTAATTTTATTTGAAAGAGGACCTATGACAAACCAAAAACTAGTTAACCAAATAGAAATACTTTATCTTTGAGATGTTATGGAACAAAAATTCATAATCTTTTGAGACTAGTATACCTTTTTTTTTTTTTTTTTGTTCCGGGGATGGAACTCTGGTCCTTGCGCTTGTGCAGCAGGCGACGAAACCACTGAGCTAAATCCCCAGCTAGTATACCTTTTGAGAGCTAAGCAAACATACAGTTGTAGTTATTTAAGTATATTCAGTTGAGTTATTTTAAGATTCCTCAAAAGTTTCCATGTTTTTAAAAATAGGATTACTCGTAGTAACAAAGTAGGTCAAATTTTAGATTTTAAGCCTTCTGTTACAAAATGTATTCAACAAAGGAAACGTAATTTGGATTATAAAATTCTTGCTTTAATAAAAATTCCTTTAACAGTGAAAAAAAAATGTATTCAACAAAATTTATTTGATTATGTAGGAAAACAATATATTTAATTACTAAAAGAACTACTTGATTGGGAATTCTTATTCTATATGATACACAACCAATTTTTAGGACATGAGTAATGTCCAATCCAAATGATTACACTGTTCAAGGGAGTATCTAAGCTAACTCAACTTTCTCCTGCATCTCAGTTTACTGAGCCAATTAAAGGAATCATGTTATTGTGGACTTTCTAGAAAGGATTAGAAATGGAAGTTACATGGAGCTTGTAAACCTAACAACAAAACCAGTATCTGAGAATTCCAGAGACTCATACTATGGGAAGCAGCTCAGCGTTTGGGAAAGCTGTATAAACATTCCGTATCTAAAGATAAACACTAGGGGATCTTTATGACATTCAGGTTGAGCGTAGTGTTGGTCTCATTGCTTATGACTCATCTAGCAAAGGCAAAATATGAATGGAAAAGATCAAATATTCAGGAAAAAGAGCCCAATTGCTTTCACTTGGAAACAGGAAATCTAACATTTTATGGGCAAAAAAGTCAGTCTGTTTAGATAATAAGAGGTATGGATTTTTTTTAGTGCCTGGGATTGAACCCAGGGCCTCCTGCATGCTAAGCAAGCTCTCTACCACTGAGCTACACCCCCAGCACCAGATATGTTTTAAATGATAACTTTTTCTTTTTAAAATTTCAGTTTTATTCTTCAACTCACGAGATTGCCATCAAATATGTGCTCATTTCTAAATTTTCTGAAAAACTCTGGGGGTGGGGTGGCAAGTAACTGCCTCAACTCTGAACACAGCCCATCATACTTTGAAACATAAGAGCAAAGAAAGTAGTTAACAAAGTAATCCTGGCTATTATCCCATTCAAGCCCACGCAGACCACAGCATTCCTACTCAGCTCTAACAAACTCGGGGTTCTCTAAAGTACCAACATATTTTGAAGGATGAAACATCAGCAAGCTCGATTTATTGTTCCCAGGTTTAGCTGCTGGAAGACAGACTCTTCTCAGGGCTGTGAGCCATTCTATTCAAGTGAACCTCACTTCTAAGCATAAATGATCCTTCCCTGAGAATGTACTACAGGGAGCGCTCTTCATTTTGAAGTAATGTTTCATTAGAACAAGTGCTGTATATTTTCACTATAGAAAAGAATCATAAAGGGGAAAACTACTATTTTCAACTATATAGGTAGTTCCTGGGTGACTCTCTTTTTAATCCTCAAGAATCATATGTATGTGTGTGGTATGTGTATTATATATTTTTCATAATTGTAATCTACCACACACTTGTATCATAGAAATAGGCTCCATCTTTTCAGGCGATTGCTTGGTATTCCATTACATGAGTCTCAAGCAGTCATTTTTACTAATTCCCTACTGATGGTCATTTTGGGTTATTTCAAGTTTTTCTGTAATAAACAATATTGTAAACATCTTTAGATGCAAATGTTGGCACATTTTCCCAATCAGACTCAAAATTATGCATATTTTAAATTAATACATGTTTCATATTGCCCTCTAGAGGCATAGTTTTATCTTCTCGATACTTATGCCAGTATCCTCATGAACCTCCTTACAGCTGAGGCAACTAAGACTTGGGGACAATGACTTACCATTGTGTTGTCACCACTTGAGCTTCCAACTTGATTGTGTCACTTCCTGGTATCTTCATGTAGATTATATTCTCTCCTTTCAGAGCAGAATAGCCACTGAACAAGTGTATTGTGAATTACTCCTTTATGTATTAACACTTCTTGTGTCTAAATCACAGCAAGTTGCTCTTTTTTCCTGTATTTCTCACTGCATGCAGTGAAAGGTGCTGTATGCTTTTTATGGCACTATTGTGTATTGCCATGACTCATTCTGGCCAGAGAATCATCTGTGAATGGTTTCTGCCCGGAATCAGTGAGCTCAGCCCCAGACGTTTATGCCTGGCTCCTGATGAGCACCTGCCAGATGGTCGCTCCGAGTCAGCATGGGGACATCACAATGCTCTCAAGACACTTTCCATGTGGCACATGAGAAAACCGTGTTTGTACACTGGCATTTACTTGCAGATACGGCATACCTACAGTGTGCTCTTTGTGGTGCTGGTGCGCCTGCTTCATGGCATCTGTGTTCCGAACAATCTAGAAAGCCCCTCTGTGTTTGGCACATGTCCAAGTATTGTACATGGGCCTCAGGGTGAAAAGGCTCTATGCGTGCAGAGCCATCAGAACTGGGCTGTACAGGGAAGTGAGCTTGGCAGAGGAGAAGGAGGCATCGTCCCAGACAGAAGGACCTGTGGGAGCCAAACCCAGGGTTTGAGCTTTGCAAATGGTGAGCATGTTGAGGCTAGAGCTGGGGGCGGGGTCTGAAAGGTTGGGAATGCAGAGACCACAGTGAGATCCATGGGGCCAGATACCATGGAGGCTGTAGATGGCCGCAGCACCTGCCTCCCAGATAAGGAAACTGCTTTGTACCTGCCTTCCAGGTAAGGAAACTGAGGCAGACGTTCCATGGCCCCCGTGTAAGAGTTTGTCATGTTGTTCAGTAAATCCTTTGGTGGCTGGTGACTCAATTCCATAGGCCTCTGAATTTTGATTTCAAGGAAAGAATACAGACTTAGTCAACTTTTATAGCCCACTCTTCAAAACATAACAAACATTTGTACTCTAAACCAGATTTTTTTGCTTAGAATTTTTCTTTTTAATTATACCAGTATAAATATAGTGTTTGTTTACAAAACATATAAATAAAGCAAGAATCCCCTCTAACTCTGACCCCAGCCACAATCCCTATATCTTCTCCCTAAAGTACCTACCTTTGGGCTGGAGATTTAGCTCAGTGGTTCCGCCGCCTGCCTCTCAAGCAGAAGGTCCTGGGTTCAATCCCTGGTACCAATAAAAAAAAAAAAAGTGCCTAAAGTACCTACCTTTGCTTATCATGCCTCCTTCGAGAACTGTCATTACTTCTGTTTATATAAATGTGTTCAATCCCTGGTACCAAAAAAAAAAAAAAAGTGCCTAAAGTACCTACCTTTGCTTATCATGCCTCCTTCGAGAACTGTCATTACTTCTGTTTATATAAATGTGTGTTTCTTTATAGAAATAGAAAATTATGTTTTAGGGGCTGGAGTATAACTCAACAGTAAAGCACTTGCCTAGCATGTTAGATCCCCAACTCTGACCAAGAGTTTTTCCATCACCTTGTTAACTCTTGTTTATTTTACCAGTAGCATAATAGCATATTATTTAAAACCACCCCGGTGTTCCTTAAATGAAGGATCTATCCTCTGTGCAGAGTGGTGGCTGGCACATTGCTGGTGTCCTGAGAAATGCTGGCTAAAGAATGCAAGCTATGTTGCCGATCCAGGGTAAGGTGCTAGTTAAGAGGTAGGCAGGGCTCCAAAGTGAACAGTGGTTACTATCACCACCTGGATTAGATTAGTCCTCTTGGTAGATGGCTGGACTGTCAGCCCTGTGTCTCCTGATTTCCAAACAGGACCACTGAGGAATCATCTAGTCCCAAATCCTCCCCAGAAGGTATACTAATATTGGCACTTCATTAACCATGCTGAAGACCACAAACACATGATTGGAGAGGGTGCCCCTGGCCTTCATAAATGTGACAAATGGCCTCGGCAGCAGCAAGCGCAGCAGCTGTGATGAAATAAATGCTCTTTCCTGAGGAACAGGCCTTTTGTTTCAGATGAACTGCAGTTGCAGAGAGAATTCATCTAGAAGGCCAAGGGCACTGTGGTTGGGAACCAGGAGGCAAGATTTCGGCCTTTGCAGGGAGGAGACAGCTTTGGCTGGCATTTCCAACGCTTCTGCAACGCGCTCAGAGAGCAGATCCTGTTTTCCCAGGGTACAGATGCCGGACTGGGAATTAGAACAGTGGCAGTGTTTAACTTGCTAATTAAACCCAGTTTCCTAGATCACCCTAGGTAATAATTAACAACCCAGAACTGCAAGATAGTCTAATCCATTCTTGCTACAAACCTATTACTTTGTGCCTCTGGTACAAAGACGGGCCTGAGCCTTAATAGGTTTAAAATACTGGTTCAATAAGAAGCACTTTTCACTCCATGTGCATTTTCTAAATCCTTGCTTGGTAGAAAACCTGACCTTGACCTTTTAAATAGAGAATAATAGACTCTGGGTATAAAAGCAGAGTAAAGGAAGCCTTAAAAATTTGGAATATAGCTAGACATGGTGGTGCACACCTATAATCCCAGCACTCTGGGAGGTTGAGACAGGAGGCCTGCATGCTAGTTTGAGGCCAGCCTGGGGAACTTAGCAATTTAGTAAGACCCTGTCTCAAAAAATTAAAAAATGGGCTGGGGATATAGCTCAGTGCAAAGGTACTCGGTTGAATCCACTGTAATAGACAAACAAAATGCTTGAAATATTGAAAACAAAAGAAAGTCTTATTTTTTCCTGTGGCTTTTAGTAAACCTTAGCATCCTTACAAAGCTTGAAGAAAGTAAGCACCATTACCTGAGGTAAAAATTTTCAAAATCTTTAAAATAATATTTTAAGTGGATTATTTTAAGGGACCAACTGAGTTTTAATTAAGAGTGTTTTTTCCCTAAAACTTAGTATCATCCACTGAGGGCTAGCTGCCTTCTGAATCTGACATGGGTGTTTTGTTTTGTTTTACTTTTGTTGTTGGATTTTTTTTTTTTTTCTTTCCAGTACTGGGGATAAAACTTAGGACCTTGCCCTCGCGAGGCAGGTTTGGTGCCACTGAACTAAATCCCCAGCCCTGACATAAGTGTTTTTCACATACATAGGATAATTCACTCATGAGTAAAGGTGTGAGTTGTCAGAAAAATTAGGCTCGGGTTGTTGATTAGTATTTGTGTTGTTTAACTGACTACATTGAAGTTAACCCTGCCATTAACCTGAAAACATTTTCCTTAAAAGAGCCTTTCAACAGCTCTCTGGCCCTACCTGAGATGTCAGCTCCCCCTCTACTAGTTTTTTAAAGAGCCAGGGGAGTAAGGCGGCCCCGTCGAGAGTGTTTCTGTGGCATTCCTGGTAAATACAAATACAGACCAGCAGCTGAGAGGGGGCTGGGAGTTCGTGGGCACAGATGAGGAGCCTGCTGTCCCCTCTCTCCGCTTGGGAAGTGAAGTTCGAAGGGAGGACCGTCCTGCAAAAAGCCCGAGAGCTTCCATGAGGCCTTGTTAGGCCTCCATGGTGCCACTCAAAGCTTTCAGGCACAGGCCTGGGCCCTCTCGTGTGCGACACCTCTTCTGAGATACTTAATAGAGGTGATCATTTTTTAAGACTGTGCTGATAAAGATCTGCCAGCACTGTGAACTATGTTATGTAGCAGGGGTTTTTTTTGTGTTTGTTTAAAGCCTCTCAAATCATAAACTAAAAATGACAAAGGCTTATATCTTTCCTGTTGCATATCCAGAAAACCTTTATCGGCCAAGGTCACATTCTGGCTTCAAGCATGGCTGGACTGAGACACATCAAGGTGGTCCTCAAGGATCCATTGTTCTTTCTTTTTTGTTGGCTTCAGTCCCAAGCAGCCTCCTGTTATATGAGCAACAGCCATAGACCTTCAAGTGCAGGGGAAGAGAGATTTTTTTCCCCCCAGAATTCCCACAAAAATCCCAGAATCACCCTAATGGGGAAGTTTCAGTTTCATATCCGTCCCCAAACCAATCACTAGAAAGAGAAGCTGGAGGGCCCGGGATTTAGCTCAGTGGTTTCACCGCCTGCCGAGTTCGATCCCTGGTACCAAAAAAATTGAAATAAAAAATTTAAAAAAATTTAAAAAAGAAAGAGAAGTCGGGAGCTCATGGAGGGCTCAGCTCCCATTGGGCTGAAAGTACGAGTAGAACTGTCCCTCAAGGAAAAGCCAAGGGATGCTCTCGGGAGGAGAAGGGACACAGGGCAAGCCCCGGCAGCGGTCTCTCCTCGTCCAAGACTTAAAATGCCACAAGCCCTGAATGGCTCAGGCCCAATGATTTCCATATTGTAAATGAGGAAAATAACCTGTGTGATCCTTTTAACAGTGATTTTTAAAAGGGTTATTCAATTTTACTTGTCTACAGGTAGGTAATGAATGTATATATGCTAGTAATATTAAACTAGAAATTCTGCTACTTTATGGAAATATAAAGTTTAACAAAATATAGTCCTTGACCTCAAAGGGTTCCTAGGGGCAAGGACATTTAACACAAAACTCGAAGTTACTGTAGTATGTATGAAAGTACTCTGTGTGACATTTGTCCCGAGTTTCACAGGTCATGGAACTTTTTCCTCCTGAACTTGTAACAGCTCCAGAAATCAAGGAAACTGTATGAAACTTAATACACGAGAATATTTCACAAGAATATTTGTTCATAGAGAAGTTTGGAAGTATTCCTAAAAGTAAGTGTGGAGGTTTTATTTCTTTTCCTCTTTAACTAGAAAGAAATGCTTATTAGCAAGAAAGTGGGCATGTGAAAACCTAAGGAAGTTTTTATTTGTGCGTGGAAAATCAATTCTGAATCACAAAGTACATCTCAATCTAATTTTCAAAACCGCAGAAATCGAATACTTTTCATGAGTATGTATGAGTTTATAAAAATAGCCAGGTTTTAGGAGCTAAAAAACCAAAGTCTAAGATATTACGTCCTTATTGTTTCGATGTCAATCAGAATTTAAAACGAGACACATACATGGGCGTTTAAGATGGAAAATGAAGGTGACCTTAAAGTAGTTCTTGGTAGGGTTTTTTCCAAATGAAAATAAGAAATGCCTCGGAGATAGCAGGCCCATGTTCTCTGAGACACAACAACCAACACTTTGCAATCCCATCTGCCACTCAGACTACCACAGATGTCTCTAGAAAAGATGGCCTTGTGTGGAAGCAGAAAGTGCCAGGTTCACAAAAATGAGGGACAGGGGATGGGACAGGTGTGGTCAGGCACAGTGAGGCCTGGGCAGGCTTGACAAGAGACTCATTCCTCCTAAATGTATTTTTTGTTGCTGTGGGTTTGTTTTTACTATTTTTATTTTGGTGGTACTGGAAATTGAACCCAGGGCCTTAGCACTGAACTACATCCCTAGCCCCCTTTTGCTAATGCCCAAGCTGGGCTCAAACTTTTCCATCTTCCTGCCTCAGCCTCCCAGAGTGCTGGCATACAGGTATGTACCACCATGCCCAGCTATCTTCCTAAAGATCTTCAGAAATCCAAGGAAGTCATGTGAAATATAAAGACAAGATGGATTGGTTCAGGTGTGAAATTTGGAAGTATTCTTAAAATGGTGATATTTCTTTTTCTCTTTGACTAGAAAGAAATTTATATTTAAGCTAGAAAGTAGGCATTTAATTAAAAAAGAAAGACATTTAAGAGTTAAATTTTAAGACACAGAAAGTAGCCTTGATTTACTACAATTTGGGAAATATTTATTGAGCACCTATAATGTGCCTCGTCGTATGTTAGGCGATGCTGATGCAACATGAATTCACATAATACAGTACTTGTCTCACTGTCTCCTGGTGGAGCTAAGGACATAAATAGAGTGTTATGTCACATACACTGTATCAGGCTTTTCCAAGGTGCTGGAGGAGAGGCTCACATGAAAAGCCATGTTTCTTTTTTTTTTTTTTTTCATTAATTTTACCTGGTACATTTTAAGTACACAATATGCTGACGTTCATCGTTGGGAGTTTGTACCTTTACAATGATGTATCTCTATTCTTTTTTCCCCATTCCCCTGCCCTCCCTTCAACCCCTCCACCCCATTTACAAAGATTTTGTTTCCATTTTTTCATTTTCTCATATTAATTCCATTCCCTCCTTTCCTTTCACCTACCCCTCCTACTTCCCCTTCCCCTTTGGACCTTTTCTTCCTATTTCACATTATCCATTATCCATTTTGATCCCTATTTACACTTTCATTTTCTCACACCAGAGAAAAGCCATGTTTTAAGTGGAGCCTACAAAGATGTGTGGCAGTTCACAAACCCGACAAGGTCACAGAGGGCCCATGTAGCAGAGAAGAAAGTCATAAAATATAGACAAGGCGCAAATGAGAGAATAACAGTCAAGCCCATGCCCTGAACGCCTTCAGATGGGGCTGCAGCAGAGGGGGCAGAGGGGCGAGGCTGGAGCGAGGGAACAGCAGGAGTAGAAGGTGAGTGTACGGATCCCTTCTTGAGCGTGTGATTTGTACAGAGGCACTTGGGAGAGTCCTGAGCTAAGTTTAAGGCTCTGTCTTCATTCCATTAATAATTCAAGACTCCACATTTGTGCCCAGCTGATCACGTGGCTAGTCTTGGCCCCCAGGTTTCTGTCTGGAGTTAAGGGGTAGCCCCAGATGGCAGTGACTGAACAGAAGAGCTCAGCTCACTTTGGTCTTGGACGGCTGGGCAGAAAGCAGAGCTCAGCTCTGCACGAACTCCATGTACTTAGGTGTCATCAAAGCGGAGATAAGCGATAGCCTGCTACAAACTGGAGGCCAATGCCGAGCACAGTAAAGGCGGATGTAGCAGGCGGGGTGCTAGGTGAGTTGATGGAGGTCCTACATGTGGATAAGCTTGTACAAAGGTGGGAAAGAGCTGGGAATGGTGGCACCTGCCTGTAATCCCACCACTCGTGAGGCTGTGGCAGGAGGATCACCATGAGTTCAAGGCCAGCCTGAGCTACATAGTTCAAGATCACCCTCAACTACATAGTGAGACCCTGTCTGAGAAAAATAAAAACAAAAAAAGGTGGGAAAGAGACAACCTCTGCAAGCACCAGTATTTAAGGGATCCGAGAACAACGAGAAATGGAACCAGAGGAGCCACAGTCTGAGGTAAAATGGGAGTCGTGTCCAGAGAATGTCTGCAGAAGGACGAAGTGATCCCAGGAGCACAAGGCACAAAGAGATCAAACCAGACCACAGTGGGGAAATGTGCTGCAGTCCAATTCAGGGATGGGGTGGTTACCTCGAACAATGGCGGAGACACAGCGGCACTGGCAGGAAGGAGGGTCCCGCGTTTCTGGGAGGAGCCAGGCTGTGCCGTGAAAGGGAGGAAGGACCAAGAGTGCGCAGGGTAAAGGTGGGCTTGTGTTTCCTCAGGGGGGAAGGAAGTTGAGCACGTTTGTGCACTACAGCCCTGATCTTAGAAGACTGAGGACTGCACACTTTTGGAAGAAAAGCAAGAAAGGTGAAGGTGGGATTGCAGGTGGGTGGACCAGTCAGAGAGCAATACCACCATGCCATCCCCTGTGCACACCACAAACTTCCCTTTCTTTCTTGAGCGTACTGGGCATTGAACTTGGGGGCCTCCCACTGAGCCATCTCCCCAGCCCTTTTTGCATTTTGAGACAGGGTCTCACTAAGTCACTACATTGCCCAGGCTGGGCTCAAGCCTCCCAGAGTGCTAGGATGACAGGTGTTCTCCACCACGCCCAACTCCATCTGTGCACAAATCCTCCCATTTCCTCCCTGTTACATTTACTGACGAGAGTGAGGCGATCAGAAGACCAGCATGTTTTGAAGGGTGTGGAAGGGGATTCGAACTTGGCATGGAAGTGGGCCCTGATCAAGGCCGGGTGGCCAGGAAGAGAGGGCTCAGGGTCAGGTGGAGAAAAAGCAGAGCAGTGCTTGCCGCCTGTGTGGATGGAAACTGTAATGTGAAACTTTGGTCCAGGGTATTGAAGCTGAACAAGCAGAAAAGGGGTTTGCCTTTTAACATTTTCCTCCTGATCTCTGCAGACCCTCACAGCAAGGAGGCTTTTTTCCGGGATTCTTGGGCCCAAGAGGCAAGATGTTCCCGGCTGCAGCAAGGCCAAGTGCTGATCTGGTTTATAATTAATGCCTCCCTCGACTAGGGGATGTTTATAAACTTACTCTGCAGCTTACTCTGTGCTCTAATGATTAAGCTTCCCTGGCCCCTATTTTATTGCAGCTGAGTTAAAAACTGACCAACTAGCCCCTCGATGATCCCTTCTCCCTGAGATGACTAGAAATCAAAATTCCCTCTCTCCCAGCACGTTTGTCTACAGCAGGACTAAAGAAAGCTCCAGCTTTGGCTCCGTCCATTGCTAAGGGTAGCAGACTGGGCCCATTCACAGGCAGGGTGGTGTAGGGGGCGATCCCAGACTCTTTTCCTTTCCTACCCCCGTTTAACCCACCCAGCCCCGCACAGTGCTGTTAGACACCCTCGGTTAGGGCCCTCTCCGCACCTCCAGTCTGCACGTGCGGGTTCCCCGCTAGACGCCTTCAGACTGTGTTTTGTGCACATTACGGAGAAGTGCGTCCCTTGAAAGATCTCCAGCTTGGTCGCTGTCTGAACCTTTCCGTGCTAGATGGGCAGAGTCCTCAAAGACAGAGTCATCTGCGGAATTACGTCACTTCAAGCCCTTGTCTGGATTCAGGAAAGAAGTGAGTTTAAAAGAAAACCCCGATTTAGATGGCTAATTCCGAGCTCCGACCACCTGGGAGGCAGAGCCTGAGGCGCGTCCTGGGAGAGAGAGGTAAGGAACGCGCACCGAACAGCAGGGACCCCTCCTGGCAAGAGTTGTAGGTGTCGCCCCAACCCGAGCCCCAGCTTTATAGTGGGGGCAGGGAGTGGGTAGGGGGAGTTCACGCTCTTTAGAACAAACCCGACTGGTCCACCTTCTTTTCAAAAGGGTTGACCCGCCTTCCCCGGTGCTAGGTGAGTTTGTAGCCCCAGGCACCTTTCGGTGACTCACTTCTTACAAATGTAAATGTTCGCATCTGTGGTAGGTCCCCACCAGTCCTGGGGCTCCCCGGCGGAACACCCACCTTGGGGGTCTGCCCGGGCGCATCCTGCCTTGGGCGCAGGGCTCGGACTCGCACCCAGGGGCGGCCCGGCCACACCAGGCCAAATCCAGCCGCATTCGCAAGCGCTGCCTTAAAACAAAAGAGTGGGGGTGGGGGCTGAGGGGGTGGACCTCACCCCCCACCCCCACCCGGCCCTCCTCCCGGCTGCCCGCCCCCTGCTCTCGGTGTGCGCATGAGCAGAGGCGCCTCCCTCGGTTCCTCCCAAGGCTAAACTTTCTAATTCCCTTCTTTGGGCTCTGGGCTGCTAGGAGCGGAGCAAGCGCTCGCGGCGCCGGGTGAGAACAAAGTGGCTGTGCGATTTTCCCCCTTCCCCGGCCCGGCCCGGCCCGGCCCTCGCTTCCGCGGGAGCGGCAGGAAATGGAAGGGCCCCTCTGCTCTCTCTCTGAACATTTGCCTTTTCTCCTCCACCTCTGCAGAAAGGAAGACGCGAAGAAAAGGCAGGCGGCTCGGCGACTTGGGTGCGTCCCTGGGCTGCGGGACTGGCCATGGGGCGGCTCCAGGTGCTGATCTTCGGTGTCCTAGGTAATGCCGAGGTGGCGGTGGGGGAAGGTGTGTGCTTGGGCGCTGGGGAATAAAACCCCGAAGCCCCATGTGTCCCGCTTTGGAGAGAGCCTGGGGACCAGGAGAGGGACTGGTTGGAAAGGACACCCCTGGGACTAACGCCACCGCCCCGGCCTCCGTGGTGGCTGGAGACGCGCGAGCGGACCGCATCCCTGGGTGTGCGCGCCGAGCTCGCTCCGGGCTGAGCTCCGGCCACTTCACGCCGAGTTTGCCCATCATAGAAGACGGCTCCCCAAGTGGCGAGGCTCGCCGTTGAGGGTCCCCTAAGAACCCACTGCCCGGGAAAGTGCCCCGGTCGAGCGCAGGCTTCGTCCTGGGAACAGATTGGAGCCATGTGGTTTTAATTAACCACCGCCGTTTGTCTCCGGGTGGCACCAGGAACCGCTGGCTGGGGTGCATTTCTGGAATGGGAAGCATTGGAGTCACCCCAGAGCTGCAGGCGCTGACCGGCCGCCCCTTGCTGGGGAGGTAGCAGTTATCATAAGCCGGGGCGCCTCCTCGAAATCCTGGGTGACCCTGGCGCGTGCACACGCGCACGCTCTCGCTCCTCAAGCTCGCGGATTTCCACTGGCACGCACACCGAGGATGCCCGCTGGCTCTGGCGCGGGCGCACGCGTGGGTGGGTAGCGTGGGGCGCCGAGCCTCCCTGTGCCCTGGTCCGCGTACCTCAAAGTGGTGAGCAGCACGTCCACCTTTGTGGGCGACTGTTCCCTTGGGCGGATCGGGATGGGTGTGAGCATCCCCTAGGTTTTCTCAGTGATGCGCTGTGCTGACTGCTGGCAAACCTGATGACAAACCTGATGATGAGCTTGGGTTTCCTTCGGCCACCTCTGCGTCCTCGCCTTCCCACCTCTTCACTTCTCTTTCCATTGTGTCTTTTCTGTGTTTCTGTGTATTAAAGTTTCTCCTGAGTCCGTTTCTTGTTTATTCCTCTCGCTCGGGTCTGTCTTCTGCTTGCCTCCCCCAACCTTGCCCCTCGCCCCTCCAGCAGCCCTGTGCGGACCCGGAGTGCACGCTCAGGACGCTCAGGAACCCGAGTTCAGCTATGGCTGCGCCGAAGGCAGCTGCTACCCAGCCACAGGCGACCTTCTCATTGGCCGAGCTCAGAAGCTGTCGGTGACCTCGACCTGCGGATTGCACCAGCCCGAGCCCTACTGTATCGTCAGCCACCTGCAGGTGAGGGCAGACTGCCTGGCGCTGGGCGCATGCGTCCCTGCCGGTCCAGACCAGAGGGGCAGGCCCGGGGAGGCGGGGAGCTCCGCTCCTGCCAGCCATCCAGAGAAAGCTCGGCCAGGCCAGCCGGGGAGCCCAGGGATTAGGCTGGTAGCTCCCCCCGTCCCCCATCTCAGTTTGCAGGGTTGTATCTGTCAAACATTTCCTGTCGCTGCCACGATCAGTAGGAGAGACAGGGTTGCAGACAGACCTTGCTTCTGCCCAATCCCTAGCCCTGGTCCAGAGGCGCTGAAAGTCCTGATTCTTAACGAATTTCTCTTTGGAAGTGTGTATTTAAGATGGCTTATCCTTTTCTTTATACACTGAATACTGATCCTGAGTTTTTCCACATTTTTCACCCCAGTAAAAAGGTGCCCCAAGCATGAGCCTTGCAGTATGATTCCAATCACTGAACCTATTTTTCTCTCCTGGCTTGGTGCTGTGCCCATTTACCTCCATTAGATATCAGGACTAGATGCTTCCTTTTTTGCAGAAATACCCTGGTTGCCATGGTACCGAGATAGTAGAAGACCGAAACAAAATTTCAGGGTGTTTTCCAAAAGTGGACCCAGATTTTAGATTTCACCTCTTTATTTATACAAAGTCAGGACAAACATAAAAGAAGATATAAAGTATCAACTATCCAGAATCTGAATCCTTTTTCTTGATTAAAAAAAAAAGGCTGATACTTCTGGTCTCTAACAAAATCAAAAAGTGTTGGTCCAATGGGCAGGGCAGGGCAGGTTCCAAGCTAATTGCTCAGAGCCTGGTCACACCACTCACATGTATACCTGCCCTACAGCAGGAGGACAGAGTGTCCTGTGGTTTGCTTTAAAACGGACCACTTTTCCAAAGCAGCCTGTTCTGGAGACCTGATAAATTAAACTGAAGGAATGTGGTAGAGTGGATTCCACTCATTGGCTTGCAGCTTTAAACAGAGATGTCTAGACTGCTTCCTCCCAATTAGAGGGGAGGCTATAATTAAACTTTTTTCCCCCCAGTTCTGGTAATTGTTCTTTAGTAGTAGTTTCCTTGACTATAAGTTAATGAAGGCAGCTGATGTTACCTTTTCTAATATTAGCATTTAGATTTTACCTAAAGTGTTGGGCTAACATTTATTTTAGAGCCCAGGACATCCTGTCAGTGAATCACCAGGTTCTGAGATCAGCTTTGAATGAGAATTAGACCACTTGTCTTCAAAGCGAGTAGAACCAGACTCTGGTTTATATGATTAGCCGTGAACTTGTACAGTGCTTTTCAGATACCAAGGCCTAGAGAAAAGAAGCAGGCATGTATTTTTCTCAGATGTTTAGCTTTGTTCCTTATCTCTTTGCATCCTTGACTTCTGGTATTTATTTATCTAGTTTGGTTATTACATTTTGCTAGTCTCCAAATCTTTTGGAGAAAATAAATACAAATGTAAACGTATAGTCAGTCACTTTGGGCCTTACAGGAATGTCACCCTTGAACACATTCTGTTTGCAAGATCTATTTGGTTCTCCACATACTTCAGTGTTACTATCATTTTTGGACTTAGAAAATCATCTGCATTCCAGAAAACATAGGTACAGAGCCAAACTCCCCAGGGAAAAGGGAACTATTAAGGTGGTGCTTATGATTCACCATGATGTAGTACAAAGAGAATAGAGAACCCTTCTGACCCTATTTGCTTTTAAGACAAACAGTCTAATTCTCATTCAAAGCTGATCTCAGAACCTGGTAATTCACTGCTAGGATGTCTTGGCCTCTAAAATAAATGTTAACACAACACTTTAGGTAAAATCTAAAATGCCCAGGTGGCTAAAATGCCCTCTAGGAAGAAAGAAAATGAGAGAAATTCAAAGTTACTCTAAAATTAAACCCCCATCTTTGCTCTAGTTCATGTCCATTTTAGGGTTCCCTGAATTGACCCCAGTTTATAGTGGTACCCAAATGCAGGACAGCCCAGTACTCCTTCTCCAGATATTCTGGGCAATTTGCAAGGTATCCTGTCTGTTACCACTGCCAATTGCTGCTTGGGCAAAGTAGAAACTAAAATACC